TGATTCTGCAACAGTTACAAACTGAAATAATATGGGCATATGTTTAAACATCTGAGAGTTCTCTCTTCAGAGTGAAAAGTCTCCTCTTGGTGTGTATGTGCCCTCCTCAAGTAGCAATCTAGCATATCTGGCTTGTTTTTTTAGAGGGACCTCTGGAGTGTATTTGTTCTCTAACTGTGTTGCCTGAATGCAAATGTCTCTTACTGAACACAACTTACATGTGAGTTGTTCAAGAGCCAGTCAATGCTATTATTTTGTTTGGCAAGAGGAGATGTTGGAAAACTATTGCTTCCACATATTGTTAATCCTGTAGTAAAATGTCCAATTCTCTTATGTCTAGCAGTGGGGCGTCAGGGAGCCATTCCCTTCCCAGTGGGATTTTCTAGTGGGATTGTAATTCCATTTATTTTAGGGAAATAAGATCTACTGCTGATAAAGTAATAGTTTCCTTCTGTATAAGTAGACTGTAAAAATTTGGCAGTACTTCTTGCTAGCAGACAAGAATGTAACGTGAAAATACCTAATTAAAAAAAAAATTGGCATGCCCGACTCTCAACTGTATCCAATGTATAATATATGTCCTATGTATAATTACAAAGACATGCATAACATTGCTGCCCTTGAACCATGCTCTTGCCAAAAGAACAAACAAAACTTCCAAGACATAAAGTCAGTGATGACATTTTGATTTGAATTATTGTTCTGGCCAGATTTTTTTTTTCCCTGGGTTTAAGTGCATCAAACTTTGCTGGCAGTGAGCCAGGAAGAGTACATTTCATGAACAGCAGTGATTAAAGCCAGCACAGCTTCCTCTTCTATGTTACAGGGCTGTGATCATTTCAGTGACAGGAACATCCTTGGGTGGAGCGTGCCATCCTGCCATTTGTGTGGTTCCACTGGGTGAGACCACAGAATTTCCCCCAGAGTGTGTAATCACTCAGATCTTTAAAAATAGGAGAAAATAAACTGCTTGTTTATTGGGGTATTTTAATAAATTTCTTAACTATGCACTTGCAGTAATTTGTTTCAAGTTTAATTAATCTGTTTTAAATTAAACTATCTTAATAGAATTGAGTAATTTTGCTTTGCAAGAATCTTTGCTCACGTGATGCTGAATCCAGGTCAAATTAGGAATAAGTAACCTAAGTATTATGCACACTGCCATCCTCTTCATTCTGTTACTATGGATTGTTATTTTTGTATTGTGATTGGACAGAGGAAGTTGATATACACAATTGTTTTTTTAGTCAGGTTGTGGTCTTCATAGAGCCTGATGAAGTCTACTTGTTTAAAGATCCATTTGAAGTAGATTCCTTTAGTTCATGCCTAAGTTTATTCAGAAAATGTTTGAGAGGCCCTGCCAAGCGGAGGTGGTTTGTTCATTTTCCACTGTTGATAATTGAAGTCCAGTATGCATTTTCTAGAACATTTTCAGATGCAGCTCTACAGCTCTGTCTAGTGTTCATCACCAATCCTTACTCCTCACCTGAGGAGCAGAAATAACATCTCCCCATCTGCCCAGCTGGCATTATTTGTATCTGCTGCAGACAGGGTTATAGGGCATCCTGTTGCAGTCTCCAGTGGGAGCATTTATCTGCCTTAGAAAAGAAATGAGATCTCCCTACTTTATTTTACATTAGCTATTGAATAATAAGGGAAGAAAAAAGTTTAGATGTTCTTTGTGGTTTAAATCTCACTCTGGTGAGCATGAAAGGCTTCACAGCTCATTTTCAAATGTTCAGGAAACTTTTCCCTCAGTTACTTGCATGTAACTATCCCAATAATATTCTTGTGTGTACAAGTTTGACCTTAGCAGCAGGTGCTTGAAAAATTCTTGTTCAAGGAAAAAAATCCTTATCTTTTCTGAGGCTTTACTCTGAGAAGTATAAATATTTGTTTTTGAAAGAGCGCTCCTTTAAAAAAAATTATCGGCTCTTGGAAGGTATATGTGCTCAAATGGACATACTTTTCAGTGCTACATTTCAAAATGTAGTGCTACAGAAACAGAAATATCATCCATAGTTCTGTTTTGGGGTTTTTTTTCCACTATGGAGTAAGCCTACTGATGAAAATAGAGATAACTGAAAAGTATGGATAACAAACATATGGTGCTGTTACACAGGCACATGTTTTTAGAAATGTGTATACATACATATATATATATATATATATATATAGATATGTTTATGAACAACTTGCCAGAAAAGAGATATGCTTTTTTGGGTTTTCTAATTTATACTATTTTAGAAGAGTACAGAGTAAAATTCTTCAGAGTCTTCTCTGTTTGGTAAAAGTTGAGTAACAATTCTAGGATAATCATTCCATACTGCTTTGCTTTTTCCATGGTAATGTATTTTCACAACTGAGCATTTGTTCCAGAATAAATACATGCAGTTAGAATTGAATGACAGTAATTTGACCAGCCAATGTACTTACACATACAAATATCCAAACGTTGGTATGCTGAAGTTAGTGTGCAGTTTTTTAAATGCAGGGTCACCTTTAACTCATTTATGACTGTCAGTATAAAATTTGCTAGCTCATATCATCACAGTATTGTTTTGTACTTGCAGCTTGGAGATGCAAAAAGGAAATGTTTGTATTTGTCAGCAATAGAAAATAATGTGCTGTTGATCAGCTTTGTCCTTCTCTTGCAGTCACAAGGACAGGGCATCTGTAGGCCACGTTTTAGAACTCTGCGGGTTACATTTGGTCTTTGGGCTGCATGTTGAGCAATCCTCACTTAAAACCTACAAAGCAATTACCTACAACATGCTCAAAGATGAGACCTTCCAATCTTGTAAGATTATTTGGTGTCTGCTGGTTGCACTCTTAAAACACAATCACATCATTACATTCATCTAAAAAACCACCATAACTGCATTTATCGTATTTGATCATTGACCCGTGAGAATTCTGCTTCATGCTCTTCAACCTGCTTCACAAAAAAGGACAACTCTGGAAACCAGCACTTCTTATCTTGTGTAAATAACTGTGAATGTGCAGTGTGTTAAAGCACAACAACAATAAGTGGGCACAGATAGGAACATGTGTTGACCATTTGGGAGAGAAAAGGTATTGATTTGCTTCTTTGTGTGCCCAGTATCTTTGTGTAAAAGAGCAGGTGGCTATAAACACGGATGTGTGTGTATGTGTGTCTGTAGCTGTAGTTAGATTTTTTTGAGAGAGTGTTCCTGTTGGGGTTATTGGAAAACCAACTGGGTATAAAGCTTTTCTGCTTTAATCTTTTATGCACCACACTTGGGTTTATGTGGGTTATTCTCTCTATGTATTCATTGTGCACATCCAAGAAATGCCTTTCCCAAGTAGAGATGTCACATTTGTAAATGGTAGAGGGAGTGTGTTTATGTATTTAATTGTTTTTAAATGCATCAGTGGTTCCATAGAGATTGTCAGTTTAGGATTCCATGGGGTTTGTTTTATGGGATGCTGCTTTTTCTTTGTATGTCTTTCTGTTATTGCAATGTTAACAAGAGAAAATGCTTTTGAAAAACTGGTAGTTAGTCACTATTAGAAATTGTTATTAACCACATCATGTCTTTATCAGCTTTTGCTGTTACAAAATATGTTTTCTTACATGGAGTTGAAAGAGTCCCTTCTCCCAAGAGTGCACTTCAGCCACAGTTTAGAGCAATCACGTTGGTTCGACTGCAGTTCTTTTTTCTCTCCACATCTTCAGCCATTTGTTCCCATTTTCCCCCCTGCATTGATTCCCACAGAAAAGCAATTCAGAGGACTAAAGTGGCAGAAATCTAACCCAGAGAACAAATGTACCTCCTAATTTTGCAGAAAAATTCTGAAGCGAATACTTTGCACTTAAATTTTTTGGTACTGAATGTTACTTTTTGTCTCTGTAAATCTATGCAGATTTACAGTATGTAACTTAGGAAGAGTGGTGCACATTTGCATTTAGATTTCAGACTTTTCATGGCTATGTCTTATGAGAATATTTTTGTACTTAGTACAGCTTTAAAGGAAGAATATTCATCATACAGCTTCAAAAAGTGCTGACCTAAGTCAGGAAGTATTGATAAGTTTGAACATTTAACCATATATAATCTTTGTATGTTTGCATTAGAAATAAAATCTTAAAATCTTCAGTTAGATTGATCTTATGTCACATCTCTGTTATGTCTGATCCTCTTGTCTATGTCTCATATGCAAGTCTGTGTTGTGTGTGGCTGCTGGACTTAAAATGTTACCTGAAGCCCTTTGTAAATTCAAGGCCTGTTCCAGCCTACTCATTTTTGTTACCTGAGGAGTCAGTGAAAAGGAGGCACCTGAAAAAAATGGTTTGGTCCCACATATCTTGGACACCTGTCTTTGAGAGACAGAAGTGCCCTCTGAGGGCAGCCCTGTCTGTCTGTCTGCTGGTCATAAAAGACAGTTGTGTGTTGGATCAGATGTCTAGCAGGCATAGGGATAGACTTAGGTGAGGTGAGCTGGAGAGTTAATGATCTATTAGTTCAGTTACAGGGGGAAAGATAAAATTGTTTTTATAGAGCAAAAGAAGAGAGATAACCACTAAAAGCATGAATAACATATGGCTGTAAAAAATAATGAAGTGGGGAGGAAGAGAGTTGAAAAATTGTAATAGCTAAGATTGCTTTTTGCTTTTGTTCAGAAATGCATTGTTTAAGATGTCATTGAAAGACTTTGTTGATGCTATTATTTCCAAATACTCTGATGCAAAAGATATTTTCTTTTTGAGTTTTAGGATGTTGCTAATACAAGGTTGACAACGTGAATGATCTGCATAAGCATTTGTCTATTTTTCTCTAATTTCTAATTTTGCAACTGATCCCTTGAATTTTGTTTCTTACACTGTGGTGGCAGAGGAAGTGAAGCATCTGCATAGTAACCAAAGGCAAACTGTGGTTTAGACTGCTTTAACTGTGAGTTACAGGCAAAGAAGCAACTTTAGTTGTCAGTGGGTTTCAGCAGAGGTCTCTTTAAATCGTTTCTTTTTCTCCTATAAGAAACAACACAAATAGAAGATCCCAGGAAACAATGGCGGCAAGAACAAGAGAGAATGTTAAAAGATTACCTTACAATAGCCCAGGATGCTCTCACTACCCAGAAGGAACTGTACCAGGTGAAGGAACAGAGACTAGCACTTGCACTGGATGAGTATGTACGGTTGAATGGTGCCTACAAAGAAAAATCAAGCTCTCGTACAAGCTGTAAGTACAGAGTAGAATACAGTGTAACTTCTTTGATCTCTGCCTTGCAGGGGATCCTGTTTCTCTTTAGGATAAGTTTTCAAGGTTTGCTAGGACCACCTTGTACCCTGGCATTTTTAGAGTTAGCATCCCTACGTTATTTATTTATTTAAGATACAGATATTCTGCTGGAGAGAATCCTCTCTGATACAATTGAACTCCATTGAGCCATGATTTACAGCAGTTGGCTCTGAAATGTATTTTGTCATGCAGTTTTGTCATGCAGACAAAATTTTGCCAAATCTGCATTCAGGGTGAGTAGGATCTCTTGCCTTCCTGGCTGCCTGCTGAAGTGACCCTTCATTGACAGGCACTTTCAGTAGACCAAGAAGGGAATGTGTTGCTGATTTATAGGAAGAGCAGACAGTAATTTTGTAGTCTGTGTGCTGTGACCAGGGGTGCAGTATAGATACAGGCTGTTGTCCTGGGCAGGGAATCAGACATGGAAAAGCACTGTCAGAGGCCAAACACCTCTGTTAGCAGTAGTGTGTGAAAGGAGCATGTACATCTGTGGAAGAACTGAGTGCCAGATCTCTGAGACTTCTAAATAAATATTCTGCTTTCCTGAGATCTCCTTAGAAATTACAGCTTTCAGGAAGAAAGTGATTACAGGATGGCTCAGGTAGAAGAATACAAACAGGGAGCAAGAAATAGGAAGTCAGGGAGAATGAGGATAAGTATTAAGGATCCTGGGATAAGTAAAAGAAGACAAATACCATATAGTGGTGGAGGGGAAAAAGGGGAGATTTTTGATTATTCGGTAGTTATTTCCATGCTGCAATGATGACTACTCTCTAAAAGGCTAGCTTTTAAAGCATTTATGGTTTTGAGCACATTGTAGGGTTTTGATCAATGTGGATTCATCAAGGAAGGAACTAATCAGTGATCTAAAAGTACTTAAATATTTGTCTTTTTTATCTTTTTTTAAAAAGTGTTTTCAGGCTCTTCATCAAGCACAAAGTATGACCCTGACATTCTGAAGGCTGAAATCTCCACTACAAGATTAAGGGTGAGAGTCCTTAACTTATGTTCATTTGGATTCAGTATGCGAAGTTTATGATTATAGAATAAGCATAGCTTGAACTAGCAGATGTATCTTCTACCTTGGTACTGAAACCTCCTAATTTTCTAATTAGATACCATTCAGACATTTAAAATTAATTTTAAAAGCTGTCTCTGGTACTTTCAGATAACACTTTTTTGGGAAATGTTGACAGATATTCTAATTAGATGTAGGTTTAAATAAATATGATAATTATTATCAATTTTATGCCTTTGTTTTCTAAAGGAAGAGTAAAAATAGGAAAGTAGTAGGCTAAGGTGAGCTGCAGCTAGACGACTGTTTTTACACAATCTTTCTTCTCTGAGAAATGCATCATTAGCTGCTTGAACTGCCTCAGAAATTTGTTGTTTTGAAAAATTCTTTTCAATAATGGTGCGAAACCCCTCTGTTATGTCAAAATGGAACAGTTCAGATCAAGGATGAAAGTCAGTGTTTGGATTTTGAAATTGTTAATGAACACAAATCCATTATTTGGTCAGCTGTGTTCAGTACAGTCAGTAACAAACTCCATATAAAGAACTTCCATTCACAGGTTAGTCCGTAGTGAATTTATCTTGAATAGGGAAGAAATGGTGTGGAAGACATTTAAAATATCTATATGGATTTCATTTATTTCAGCTGTGGCATATAATGCTTTATGCATAGCCTAAACTTTCTGTAGTTAATAGTGAAAAAAATTACACCAAAGCCTGAGTGTTAAGAAGATAGCTCCTTACAGCACAGTTCTTCCATGCGGGCTGAAATGCAGACTCCATGGGAGCAGAAGCAGCACAAGACAGCATTTACTCAGCTCTTCTTTTGCCCTCTCCTGGTTTGGGCACAGAGCAGCACTCACAGAAGCCTCAGAGAATAACATCCTCCTTCACCTGCAGTAAGAGTTGTGATTAGGAATCTAAACAATTTATGTCTGAAAGAAACTGTGGAATAGCTCATTAAACTTTTAAAACCCAGTATAAATCAGTGATGGAGTGCACTCTAAAACTCATGTTTGGATGTTGCCCTTCTGACTACACCTGTTTATCCTTACCAATCTCAATTTGTAGTCCCTTATCCATTAAGGAAAAGGGATGGTGATCAGTAAGAGAACTTATTCAAATGCTGGAGGTGAGAAGGAAAATTGTGTAAGCTTAGTAGGGGGAATCAAAGGCAGTAAGGACCTTTTCAGGAACAAGAAAGAAGAAACAAGGCAATAGCTTCATTCCAAAATGAGTGGAGCAGTAACAGGTGTTTCCTTTGGCAAGGCAATCACCAGTATATTTAGGAAATGGACAGTGTTGTTGAAGAACTAAACATGACAAAATTTAAATATAGTCATCTACTTGTCATGAGGGGAAAATTCAGGCATGGTCCTGTGCTCACTTTTTGCCATTAGCATTGACTGCAGATCTACAAATTGCTCACCAAGGTGAGAGTCAGATATGTTTATCACTCTTTAGAGGTGCTTTCCTCTCTTCATTGTTTCTTGGAGCCAAGCAGCCTAATATCCTTCTGGTTCCTGATTTATTGGCATTGCATAGTCCTCATATGTGCCTAAAATAGGTGACCTGAATCTTGTCTGCAGAGTTTAGAAAGGTGCAGTCCAAGAGTATCTGTATCAGCATAAAGTGTGTGGTCACCCAAAGCCACTGGAGATGAAAATTGAGATAAGAAAATGTGGAACCCTGTGATGCTAGGGCTGGAAAGTGGTTGTCATGGAAGATGGCAAGAGAGGTATGGCTGTTACCACAGTTTACCCTTATTTGACTGTTTGAAGATGCTTGCTAATATGCCAGCTTCGGGCATTTCGCAGTATATGCATGCATGGACTTAATGAGAAACAAAGTCATTAGTAATCTGCCAGCCAGCTACTTAGATTTTGCACTTGGTTAGATCAGTTGTACTAAACCTATTTCTCTGTCTGAATGTATCTGAGGCTTACTGGTATCATCAGGTTAGCGGTGGCTGGAGGGGGAAACAGCATTTGATGAAGTTCTGAATTGGCCTTTGGCCTTTTCCTTGTTAGCTGTGTGTAATAGAAATGTGTGGAGCCTTCTGGATACATGAACTGCCTGTTGTGCAGCAGGTCATGGAGAAAATATGACCAAAATCAGACACCTGTTAAATTAAATAAGAAGGAGAAAAAATGTTTTTCTCACCAGACTAAAATTGAGGGATCACATCTTCCAGTAGACTTTTTGAGTGGGGCCATTTGGGGTCCTAATTAGCAATCAGCAAGATAACTCAAACAGCACAAAGCATATGTGATCACAGTAAGTTTTATGCACATGCAGCATGTGAGTAGGAAATGCAACTTTATAAAATAACAAGGGGTGGAGGGGCTGGGGAAGGTGGCCATGTTGTTCCATTAGGACTTGAGTGCTGGGAATAGAAAACGGTCAGCACAGGAGCCTGCTTGAAGATGTGGTTAGGAGTGCAAAAGAGAGACCTGTCAGGTGACTGAAGATGATGTACAGAAGCAGTAGGAAGGGGGTGAATGTTAGAAGTGAAGAGTTGTGAAAAAGCAGGAATTACATGAAAGTTTTGAAGGAGAAGACAAGGAGCCTAAGAATAGTTTAATGCAGGGATGTGCAGTAAACACAGAGGCTATATTACGATGTAGGTCACATCCTTCTAGGATAATGCACCCAACTCACATTTCTTGATAATGAAATGATGATGAAGTACAGCAGAGGACACTCAGAAGATGATCTTGAGGAAAAATGTAAGAGTTTATGAGAGATGCAATTCTCTGAGTTGAAATCAAGTATGCCTTCTGTTATTAATATAAATACATGTTTCTGATTTTGAAAGGGAAAGGTTTAGCTATTCTGTATTTTTCAGAAAAATTCACACTTGTTTCATATTTTACACATCACTTTAGCTGGAACACAGAGGTGATATCTGTTCATTTTCCTTAACCTTGATCAGAACACTTGAGAAATTATTCTTGGAGTTTTCGTACTAGTCAAGGAGAAAATAGCTGGGGAGCATTGAATGTATACTTGGAGAAATTTATCATGCTGACTATTCAGTGTGGTCAAAATAAAAACAGTTTTCTGTCAAGTAAAGCAACTAGTGATGATAGTATGATAGTTTCCAAAAGCCTGAACATAACCCCTCATCCAGAGAACAGATTTTGCTTTGAAGAAAATGGAGATTAAAAGCATTTTATTTTTGTCACAGAAAATATATTAGCCAGAAACTGCAAGCTGGAATGTCTAAGTATCATTCACAACCCCCTACAAAGACTGAGTAAATCACTAGTTATTTTAGAAATGTAAGGCATTTTAAGTCTTTTGGAGAGCTGTAGCAGCTGCTGATGCTGAGCACTTAGTTACCTGGCATGCTGGGAATCATACTTTTTTTTTTATTCTTTTAAATTATTTTTATTTGAAGAATATCAGCAATTAGGAAGTCTAAGGGGGTATGGATACAAAATATCTTGAAGGCATGTTTTGAAATTAATTTCAGTTAAAGTGGTCTACATTTATATTAGTATAATAAAATTTTCAAGAGTTGAATATCTGAGTAGCTTATAAAAAACAGCAATAATTTTACGGAGGTAGGTGACAGCAGTGGACTTTAGTTTTTCCTGTTTTCACCTTAATGATTGGAAAATTAGAAAGCCTAACAATATCTAGCTAGTATGTAGAGTGCAAACTAGCCAGCTGTAGGTGTATAAATACCAAAATCTTGGACTCCACACTTGAAGGAGGCATTTGTGTTTAAGTACATTCATTTTTAGGTGGTTCCTAAAACTTTGTTTCATACATTTGGGAAATAAGACATTGAAAATTAAATCGAGGATTTTTAAATTTAATCTTGATTCATAAATATTTTGTAGTGTACTCATATCTGCTGACATCTCAAATAGCAGCATTAAGGTTAAGAAGCAATTGACTGTGCAGATTTAGGGAGACTAGGGAATATTTTTCCAAAGACATTTTTATTAAATATACACCTATATTTGTGATTTGCGTGTCTTTCGTGATTGTTGTCTTTGGACTAAATAAGTGTGAATTATATATTTAGGGATCCAGTGGCTGTAAAGCTTTAAAAGAATGGATGGTTCCTAGGGAAAAAAAGAGTCCATTTTGTCTTTTACAGTGCAACTGACTGAACAGCTTCCAGGAATTATAAAGTGAAAATATAATAAAACTAAAAGTAAACAGGCATGTCCCTGTAGGACAGCTGGAATGCATGCTTAACAAGTGAGAAGTAAATTACTTGTTAAAGTTCTCTCAGGTTTAATAACACAGTGTGGTATCAATACAAATAAGGAATGTGATTTAATCTGCTTGTGTCCCTTTAATACTAAAGCATGTTGCCCATAGACTTCAGGAAGAGATAAGATCTTTTTTTTTTTTAATGTGTGTCAGTAGAGCAATTTACTCTTCTTCTCTCATCTGATGTAGTGCATACTTTAATTGTTTAAAGCCATGTGTTACATCGTTTAACAAGAGGAATTTTCTAACTCTTGCTTTGATTTAACACACAAGGTTAAGAAGCTGAAGAGAGAACTCTCTCAGATGAAGCAAGAGCTGCTGTACAAGGAGCAGGGCTTTGAAACACTGCAACAGTGAGTAAATGAAAATAGTAGAAACGAACTTAATTCAGTCACCTGATTTCTTTTCTTTGGCATGGAATTGAATCTGTTTTATCTGAGAGAATTATTGTGGAGAAAAAGGAGACGCTAATAACTCTGTTATAAAATGGGAAATCTGTGGAAATGGCAGCCCTTTTGTGCAAGTGTTAACATAAGAAATTTGTCTCCCCTCTTTTTTTTTTTTTTTTTTTCCCCACAGGGTAGCTTGTGTTGCAAAGAGGCAGAAAAAAGGGCAGTAGTCAGGGGACCCCAGGACAAAATTAGCTGCTTTGTGTGTCCAATTTAAATTTTTTTTTTTTAATTTTTGAAAAGGTACTTGGGTCTTTCTTTCCTCTTTCCCCACCTATGAGCTCAAAAGAAAGAGAAAGGTGCTGCTCTTGGAGGTACAAATGGTACACAACTCTGCAGGGTTGGAAATTAGTCACAATTTGAGGATTAGAGACCCGCCTTTCTTTGTTTCAGTTGCTGGGATGTCTGGTGTCCAAAGGGCTGATGCTGAACCGGATGAGCTTTCTGGGTATTTTACCAGTTAGATTACTAGGGAATTATTTTTTTTCAGTCTAAGAACTCCCTGCTACTCCTGCCTTACAACATTAGGACCTAAAATATTAAACATTACTGGAACTGTCACCATAAAGAACTTGCTGCACAGAAAACCTTGCTAACAAGTGTGTTTTCTTGAGTAAAGTGAAGAGGAATTTATTAATGCTTGCTGTTTTCCACATTGTGGTATGTACCCATACATTAAGGATACATTGCCACAGTAAAATGCTGAGCTGCTTGCCCTAGTACACTAGTTCCAGTAGCAGAAACAATCCTCAACACATTAGGAAGATGCCAGTTAAGTCTCTACCCTCCTTCATTTTGACTAAAACAGAAATGTAAGATTTGTCTCTAACTTAAATATATACAGAACAGCAAGGATAGTTGATTGAATTTAACCATGAATCAGATCTCATTTGTAGTAAAATTTAAAAGAAGAAAGACATATTGATTCTAAAGCTTAAGGTAATAAAAACTCATGCTGCTGTCCCAGGATTAAAGGTTAGCCAATCATGCTGGTTTTATTATATTAATTCAACAATGAAGTATTGTTTTAAAGCAGCTTGCTCACAAGCCATTTTGATAGGAATCCAAAGCATGTTTCAGAAACTGTCAACAGCATTCCACAGAAACACAATGGACGTTTGTTTTTAAAATTCAGTCAGCCACTTTCAAACAGTACTAATCCCATTAATTTAAAACAGGATGATGGAATATCTTATATATCAGAGATCCTTCTTGTCTATCTTAATTATATACAGAATAAAGCAGTAGCGATTTGAATGTGGCACGTCATCTTACTAGACAGCATGTGTTGTATTACCCAAACGTTCACTCATGATCCCAATTGTTGGTGTATCCTGTATCTATTTGACCTTAGCAACCTGGTAAGTTACCAGAAATTGAGAGTTGTCAGACAGTAAGTGCTTGCCTATGAAAGAGTTTGAGGAACTTTCAAACTAAAATAAACATATCCTTGAATAGGAATGATTGCCAAGTCACAGAGGTAATTTCCTTACAATAAGGCAGTTTAGTTTTCACAAAAACTGGAATGTAGAGAAAAGAGAACAGATATGCTCACAGCTTTACAGACTACTTTAGAACTTTGATATTTTTGTGGCCAAAACTTTAAGAAAAATAGAATACAGTTACAGGTGTTTTGTGCAAGTTGCTATTCTTGCTGGGGACACTCATGATCACTTCTGGTTTGTTCACTCCTCACTGACAAGGCTGTTAACTTCCAGCAAAGATGATGGATGATGATAAAAACCAGAAAACCAATTGTATTATACAAGAATTTATTCATTACTAAATGCTGGATTTCTATCAAGATGGCTTTTGGTTGGTTTTAATTTTTGAAGCACAGCTGCAGTAATTTCCATGATGCTATGAAATACTCTGTTAAACCAGAGACCAGAGAAATGTGTTTACAAACTGTAGTTCTTGAAGGAAATGTGGAAATACTAAAATGAATCATCTTTTAAACTCCAAGTTTAGGGTAGCCTTTTTTTATTTTCAGGTTACAGTTTCTGAAATCATTGGTAGTCCAGGAATTTAATGAATTGTCCAATCTATGACATATGGTATTAATTATCCAGAGATTTTGTGAATAAAGAGAGCCTGGTGACTGGCTTAGCAGAACAGCTGTTCCAGACAGTTAATGCCCAGGATTAGGGTAAACCGGAGGGAAGCTGAGACAAGAATGGTGCTGGTTATGTTCCTGCTCAGAAAGGCTGATTAGGACCAAGAAGCCCGCCTGTCTGCCTCTGTCCCATTGTGGGTTTGGGTGGAAGGACACAACTTGAAACAAATTCTGCTCTGCAAGGAGCACAAACAGTTATTAATATGAAAGGTGCATCCAAAAGCTGCCTTATGCTGCAGAGAGTTATGGTGGGAATAGGAATTTGACAGTATTGTCAGCAATAACTCTGTGCTTCTTGAGGTTTTTGCCAAGGATTAAATTGTATTTGAATGGAGATTTCCATGTCATTTTTCCTTTCCATGTCTGTTGAAAGAAACAGTGTCTCACCTCCTTCTCTTCTGTTCTCTAACTCTGCTTCTGCCTGAAGTAGAACAGCAGAGACATTAACATGATTTTCTCTATCTGCTATTAATATTCTCTCTTTCCACAGAATTGACCAAAAAATGTCTGGAGGCCAGAGCGGGTATGAGCTGTGTGAGGCCAAAGCCATCCTGAAGGAGCTGAAGTCCATCCGAAAGGCGATCACTTCAGGCGAGAGAGAAAAACAGGATTTAATGAAGGTATTTTGGTTGGGTAATGGAAGTTTTGTGGATTTTTTTAAAGTTTTTGTGGATTTGTTTTAATATGACTCACTTCCCTGATGATAAATATCTCATATTTTATGCTTTTAAGAGATTCTCAAAACTCTTTGGGCCAAACTAGTATTAAAATTAATTTTCAGATGCAGAAACTGAAGCCTGTGACATTCTTACTTCAAAAAGCTGCTCTGTGTCAGAGAATATAGATTTTATTGGAACTTGAATGTAAGGTACCATGCATATGTTACCTCTAAAGCAGAATTTAGAATATTAAGTGGACAGAATTGATATATTCTGAGATGCCTGACCATTTTGTAAATCAGTGAAAGTTTTCCTAATCTAAATTGTCCTATTTCCATTTTTGAAAGCAGATTTCCTTTTTGGGTTTTTTTGGTTGTTTTTTTTTTTTTTCCAGCAAAATTCATAATTGGTTGACAAATTAAAAAACACAAACAAAGTCCCAAAACAGACATAAACCCAAATGAGTACCTTTTACATTTTCACAGGTGTTGGTCACCCTTAGTGTCACCTATGAATGGCTTGATTAAAAGAACGGGTTGCTTAATATGAAATGAACCCAAAATTTTTATCATGCAGTCTTTTATATAAATATCTTTTGGAGATAAACTGGTATAAACATGGTAAAGTGCAAAGGAACTTTAATGCCACTTCCTTCTCTAATTCCTTGACAGAGTCTTGCAAAGCTGAGGGAAAAATTCAATGCTGACCAAACCACTGAAACATGTGAGCCAGACTTGAGTTCCAGCTCTGTAAACTCACGGCTGTGTTTTCCTAGACAAACTCTGGATACAGGGTCTCAGACTGACATTTCTGGTGAGGTGAGCTTTTCTCTATTTTGTCCAGTGTAAAGAGAAATTGAAGAAGAATGCTACTGTTAATGGAATTGGAATCAAATGGCTGTTCGCTGCTGCAGATACCATATATATGTATCCTTGCTTCACAGAATTACTTAGAATCACTCACACTAGAATTACTTTTCTGATTTTTTGCCCTTGAATTTTATATCAAGATTCAGATGAACTTTATACATTTGACATGAAGCATTTATGAAAATCTGATTTAGTCAAATAGTTCCAGTACAGTGAAGATCAGGAGAAGTGGATAGTATTTTTTATCTGTCTACAGGATATGTTTCACATTACAGACCTATTAACTATGAAGATGATTTTTTTTGGTTTTTTTTTAAATTTTCAGGAAAAAAGATCTCAGAATTTAAATGCACAATTGCATTTCACACAGCTGAAAATCTTCATGGAACTATTTGTTCAGTGATTTAGTAAAACCTTGTTTCACCAATATTATATTTTATATACATAGAAGGCTGTTTAATTTTGATACCTTCTTTGAAGTTCTGCAAGCTAAGTTTGTAAGAAAAAGAATGTACAAGGTTTTCCAAAGAGTTTTGTAACAAATTTATTAAAATCTAACTTTGAAATGCACTGACATAGTTCTAAATTCTGAGTTCAACAAAATTCATAGTAGATGAGAATTTTCAGTGCAGTCGCTGCAAGAATTCTTTGAAAATGCTCTGGTTTTACTGTGATAGAATATTGACACTTGGTAGTACAGTAGCTAAAAATGTGTAAAGTGGCTCAGAAGAAAGCAGCACTGTTTTGTACAGCTGAGTAGATGAGAATTAGGCATTTAACAGCAAGTGTGGGCCTGGCTGCAGGGGCAGGGGCAGGGTGGTAGTTTTATTTTTCTTTAACTAGTACTTTTTCTAGCCTCTGCCGGGGTTTTGTTGGTTCGTTTAAAAGCTTTGCATGGTAACGAGGCTACTTTTTTTATTCCGTTGGTTTTGTTCCCTCAGCAGATCGGTGCAAGAAGTAGATCGAATTTAGCAGAGAAGGTCAGACTCAGTCTGCAGTATGAAGAGGCCAAGCGAAGGTAACGGGGTCGGTGGGAGCGTGCGGCCGCAGCGCGGGGCCGGGACGCTGCCGGTGCCCGGGACGCTGCCATTGCCCGGGACGCTGCCGGTGCCCGGGACGCTGCCGGTGCCCGGGACGCTGCCATTGCCCGGGACGCTGCCGGTGCCCGGGACGCTGCCGGTGCCCGGGACGCTGCCGGTGCCCGGGACGCTGCCATTGCCCGGGACGCTGCCGGTGCCCGGGACGCTGCCGGTGCCCGGGACGCTGCCGGTGCCGCGGCTCCAAGGCCGGGCTCGCAGCGACATCCAGCGGGCGGCACCGCCGCGCTCCCTGCCGGGGACTGCAGCGCTCGGGAGCGCTGCGGCTGTTCCCTAGTGCTAAACTGGATGTGTTGTGAAACAAAATTAAAACACTGACAAATTACTGGCTGTTCCAGGATTAAGGGAATAGAGTGAGCTGGCTTTCTGAGGAGAGCAGTTGCCAGGTTATTTAGGTCCATTATATCCTTCTTCAGGATCATAATTTCACTTTACTATACCACTGAAGGCTCATCAGTTTTAGAGTTGCTTCAGACTTCCAGTACAGATTTAGTAGGCTTCATTATTTCTATTTTCCCTTGGGACTTTAGATAATTTAAAAACTTGATATCACTATGGGTTGGCTTTTTTCTCATTAGTTTAACTTGAGGAGAAAAGAAGTCAGGAACTGCTTCGCTGATGAATGTGGAATGCCTTTCAAATAAAGTTCTGTGGTGCTTGCCCGTGCGAGTGGTGCCATCTTGATAAATTGCCACAGCACTGAAAAATGGGCATCAGAAAGCAGAACATTCAGGGTTCGAATGACATCTGGTGCACCAGAAGTGCTGCATAATACTGGGTCAGGATTTACTGTTGGGATAGTACTCTTGTGTGATATTATTTTCTAATACTTGTCAGCAAATTATTTGTCAGCTATTCAGAAGCCTTATTGCTTTTGTTGTGGAGGTTCTTTGTAATTTAAGGGAAATAGGAATCTAAGCATTAATCCACACCCAAAATTTTGGGGTTTTTTTTACTATGAAGAACTAAACAAAGCAACAAAGCAAAGCAATAACGTTTTTCCCCAGATGAAAACTGTGCCTAGAATGCCATTTAATCTGAGATTTAAATATTATTTCAGTTGGAAAACTGTGGCATGATCATTTAAAAAACTACAAAAATAAATTTGCAACTTAGAAGTACCAAATAATGGCTTAGTTGTTTTTAGGTTTTAAAGGCAGGAGTATGCCTGACTGTTTCTTGCCTAATTTCAAAAGTACACTTCCTCCTACAGGGTAGTAGCTACTATCCTTACCAGTAACAACAGTAATCCTTTATATGCTCATCATGGATCATAAAACCTCGTTGTATAATCAACGCATTCATCAAAGAACACCAAGGCTATTGTGTTTGTTCAGTATTGAACATGTATGATTTTGGCTCAGAATCATCATGTACATAATGGTAATTGTCAGGTGGTCACTTAGATGGAGATAGGTGGCTTTGTTTCTCAGGCATAATTGATCCAAAACCTGATCACCCTCTGTTTTGGTAATGTTTTGATACCAAGAAGTCCCAGCATTGCATTTTATCTTTCTTTTGTAGGAGTAAAAAACTTCCTTGAAGTAGGTCAGTTTGCCACATCTATCTTGGGGCATGGGGAAAAGAGAAAAAAAAGGAGAAACAGTGCAGTGCTCAGAGTATGGAGTACTGCAGCACAGGATCTTTCTTTCTCACAAATTACTTAGCCAAGAACATGGGTTGAAATTTCAATGTATGTAACTTGGAATAATGAAGATACGCAGCAGTTTGTACATGAAGTTCAGTACCTAATTATACTCCTCCCCCAAGTATTGTGGCCAGTGTAAGCATCACTGTAATTTAATAAGTGTTGACCATCTTCTCTGGAATACTAAATGTGAAAATTCTCAATTATTTAGTGGTAAAATAGCTAAGATGAAGAGAGGATCTTGTAAAGAGGATCTTGTAAGTGAACATCTCTACTTGAAAATTGCCAGATAATTTTGTGCATTGCAGATTTGACGTTGCTTAGCCATCAGAATGTCTTGAAGAGGTGGAGCGTTCATAACTATGCTGAATTCAGTTGCAATTGTTATTCAAAAGGATCTGACACAGCATGCTGGCAATCCTATCCTGATGTAGTGAAGATCTGGCTAATATTCCTGTCTGGCCTGTTGTGTCATCCGACCCTTAAGGGGAAAGGAGCACTCAAGATTCATAGATGCCCATGGTCAAAAAGGAATGACAAAAGTCAAAGGGTCAGCAAAAACTTATGAACTTGTATTAGTAAATTATACACATGGCCTGGAAATTGGGATGTCAGTCCCTGACCTCCTAGTATAAACAAGTGGTGATGGATTTTGAATAGGGGGTAGGATGATATTGAAAAGGGAGAGGAAATAAGAAACAGAGCAAGGAAACAAACAAACATCACTGGCCCTGGTCCCAGCATTAATCCATCTGATGGGGTGTCCAAGGTCCTGGGGTGCCTCTGGGGGTACCTGTTTGTAGCCAAGCTGTCCCTGCCCTGCAGTTACAGGTCTCACTTTCTATGCAAATTAGCTGTCGTGGGCAGTCTGTTCTTCCAGACCTTTCTGGAAATGGGTTGAGGGCTCCAGGAGCTTTGGTGGTCTTGATGCCCCCCACTACTGCAATGGGAAGAGCAGTGGCACGAACTCAAACTGATGAGTTCATCTCTTTTCTCTTTAGGTAGCTACTGTTGTATTGCATTTTTCTTTAATTGCATAGGAGAGCAATACTTTTGTCTTAAGATTTGCTGAAGTGAGCACCTTGCTGTGGTGCACATTCTTTCACCATGGCCATGTCTGTTTTTGAGGAGCTGTCAGCCTCCCACAGTGTAGGAGAAATCCATCATACTCTTGAATGAGTAAAGTATGGTGCCACTGCTACGTTACCAGACAGATTGCTTTCAATAAAGCTTTTAATAACATTGCGACTTCTACTTGAACTGGAATAGGATCAACTAATTTTTAATATGCATGTTGCTGCTGGTCTCGGTATGTGACCTGATTCTCTAGCGTAGTCTGTGTTCTTGTGAAACAAAACTAAAAGTAGGGCCGTTAGTATAAAATGTTGTTATATCCTGATATGTTTCAAAATATTCTATCACTTCTCTCTTTCCTGGGCTTTGTGTGCTGTGCTGGACTCAATTAAATCTCCTTTGTTTTATTTTAGCATGGCTAATTTGAAGATTGAACTCTCTAAGCTAGACAGTGAAGCCTGGCCTGGAGCACTGGATGTGGAAAAGGAAAAACTGATGTTAATCAATGAAAAAGAAGAGCTTTTAAAGGAGCTTCAGTTTATTACACCACGCAAACGTACTCCAGATGAGCTAGAGCAGCTAGAAGCAGAAAGGAAGAGGCTTGAGGAAGAGCTGGTGTCTGTGAAAAGCACACCCAGTCAAGCACTTGCTGAAAGGTAAGTGGTTGCCTTTTGCTAATATTATATGCTGCTTTCTGCAATCTAACCTTTGTACTCATTGCAGAACCTGAACTATGCCTTGATGGGCTGTTTTCCTTCAGTGACTCTTCTATGTAGGTCTTAATTAAATTTGTTATTAGCCCAATAGGCAGAAAAACAAAGAAGTCTTCAGTACTGTGAGAGAATCTGAACACCCTGTATCTGCTCTGCAGTATCAGTTGCTCTGCATTTGTTACCAGCATGAAAATGCCTGTGACAGATGTTAAATAACTGAGGAATGTCAACACACCAGCGGGAAGGCAATACATCATTCACTCATTTCTGATAATAGCTGTAAACTGTTTGAACTCAGGTTACAAAGATTATCTTGATTGTTACAACATCTGAAGCCTTTCATTGTGAGTTTTATTACACACAAAAATGCAACCAAAATGGGAGAAAACCCCAAAAAGTTCAGATGAGAAGGGTAATTGCTGGAAAACTTTCTGAACTTGCTGCTTCCTAACTAGTAAGGGGAGCTACTCTCACAATAAATTGTTTTTAGTCACATTCACATTTTGCAGAAAATCAAAGCTGACTGTCACAGATAGACTTTTCATCAGCTCTAAGTGGAAATAAATTTCGGGGCACCTCTAGCCCACATAAAATGCAATAAACGCAAAATGTCATTGTGTGTATCAGTGTAGTATGCCTTACTGAACAGCATTGTGTGGCTTTCTTACTTCCCTCTATTAGGAAACACCTTCAGTGTGCTGTATTGCCAAATTCCTGTTTTAGGATTAGAAGCTGCATCCTAAATTGTAGCTGAGTAACAAGAAAGTTTTTTGCTTACGAAGTACAAATGTGTGTGTTACACAAGATTTTTAAAGCATTTGTACCATTTATAATAGTTTAAACTGCACTATAATAATAATCCAAATGTGTTTTAGAAGAGGGGAGCTATATTTTCACAGGAGAATACCTGTCTAAGGTAGATTGAATCTAAGATTTTGATAATATGCTGTTGTATAGCTAAATCTTGACTTGAGCTATAAATAGGTAGCTGGTGTCTGAATCTTGTGGTTAGGATTTGCTTTAGTGCCAGAGTAAGTTCTGCACCTGTTTTCCCATACATGTCAGGTGCCCAACTTGGAGTACCAAGGGCAAGTAAAATTGTCCCTTCTTGTCAAGAAGAAATGAATTTTCCATGTGTATTGACAGAATGAGTTGTTAGAGCTTCCTTTTTCCCCCTCTCTTTTCCTCAAACTTTTTTCCTTTGATTTTTAATCCTGAAAATATGGAGTGTTTGGGCTTTATGTCCTGAAGTTAATGTATGGTATGTTGTGCACTGCTGGTTGAAGTAGCACTTATAGTGGCTTCTGGGTTGTTTTTTTGTTATTCCGGTGAATCTCCAGTGAATTTCTAGCTTCAACTGTTTATATTAAAACTGTCTCCTTTGATGACTTCAGAGCACAAAAATTCTTTCACACGAGGCTATTTTGAGGATTATTTCTGGTTTGTCTACTATAAACATAAAATAAATCTTTTTCAGAAGGATTCAGATGATGAAACTTTCTGAAATGTTAATTTTAAAAGAATACATTTAATTGTACCAGATCGATCAGCAGGATTTTGTTTCTTGGAGTTGAGGGAGACTCTCCCCTCCCTTATCAGTGGAGGAGCCATGCCATCTTCAAAATATTGCACTATTGTTGCATTACCATTTTCTTCTATGAGGTTTCATGAATGCCTTCAGTTTGCTGTGTTTTCACAGCTACTGATAATGAAGCAGCAGCATAAGAAGCTGTGGATTGTACCAGAGCTTAATGCAATGAGGGTTCTTTCATTTGGTTTAGTGGTTTGAATTTTTTCATTTCTAAAGGGAAAAGAAACAGGAGACGTGCTCTGACTTAAAACAAAAACATTATAGCATAGCCCTGGGTTATTTTGGAGCAGGATGCTGAAGTTGCCACTAGTAGATGTATGTGGATTCAATTTACAGAAGGAGGGTGTAGATCATAACATATCGACTTCAAAAAGACAGAGACAGGGCATACTCTGGCTGCTTTAAGAAGCCTTAAAGCAACTGTGTAGGAATAACTGGATTGTGGAACTGTTGAGAATTACTTGCTACTTTCTTGCCTCTGAGTTCCTTTATAGCTTTAGTCCTTGGCAGTATCTCCCAAGTAAACACAGCCATTTGAACAGATCCATGATTTAAGTACTTGATTGTGCTGTTGCCTACAAAATGGGCACCTGCTCTTGTGCCTGTCACAAACATGTCCACCTAAGTTTGCATTGAAAGGTTAGGTATGTGCACTTTAAATTTTATGTATTTTCTTTAAAGATTCTCTGCCCCTCTCAGTGATGTTACAATCTAAGATCAAAAGAGAATGTCTCACTAACACAGAAGTCCCTCCTGCAAGGAGGAATAGGTTAATTTAAATAGAAGTGGTGCAAACAGGAGAGACCGAGACAGGCCCGTGTCAGAACAGAAAACACAGTGGTTGTTTAGGTGTTTACACAGGGGTTTTTGGATATTATAGTTCCTGCTTGTGCTATAAAGAGGGAAGGTTCATTGTCTGACAGTTTTGGAGGTGGGGTTGTTTGGTTTCTTTTCCATTTGGCTGGATGTAGAATGAAAAAAACTTTCTCTGAATCTCCATTTGTTGTGAGATATAAAATTACTTCCTGCATTTCCTCAAACTTCCACAAGTGATTCATCACTTGGCTTGTGTTTGTGATTTGTGATTAGCATCTTTCTGACATTAGCCTGCAAGTGTTAACAATTGTATTTAATTATTAGTAGATCAAATTACTTCCAGGAAAGGAATTTTTTTCAGCTGCTAAATTATAAGGGATAAATTATGTTTATCAACCTCCTTAAGACAGTAACAGAAAACAAACTGTTAATTGTGCTTTTGAGGCAAAAACCAATGAAACCTTTTAGTTCAGTAGTACAAATTCAGTTGCTATTCAGTCTCTCTTGAGGTGGCTGTAGGTGTGTCTTTTGAGGACTTCAGTCAGAGAAATTCCTAAGCGGGTTGGTTTTTTTTTGTCTTCTACCATTAGTAGTTGAACACCGAGCAATTTTTATGCCTCTTCCTTGAGAAAAAAAATCACAGTTCACTACTGAAAAGCCACAAAAGAGCTAGTGAAGAGCACTCTTGCTTGGGAAAAGCAGGATAGATTAGACTTTAAAATAAGACAGAAAAATAAAATCTATGAATAGGAAAATTATTGGAAAGAGTGATACGATAGATGAACATAATTCTTGGTTTGGAAACCTGTGTGTATGTCTTTCTGAGTGAAGAATGAAATACTGTGTATGCTTTTAACAGCCTTAGCAGGTATTGGCAGATGAACACATCACTGCAGTGTGAGAGCACGTGTGGCATGGGCAGTGGAGTGGAAGTCACACCCTGGCTGACCTCGGGGTAACTTATTCACCTTTGCATAACCCAGATTTGCTCCCTGAATAAGCATGGGTGTAAGCAAGTGCTTTTCATGCTTTGCTGAATCAGGGACTTAATGTCTTTTTGCTGGTATCTGATGTTCAAAGAGAGTGAATTCTGAGCAGTCTTGAGTATCTAATTCAGTTAATTCACTTTGTGTAAGAAAGCAATGGTTGATATTTCTTGTTTCTCAGATTAGTTGCTGGAGAACTTGCGATGTATCAGTTGACTGAGCAAGGCCTAGAGGAGAATACAGTAATCCACAACTACAGGAGGATTTTAGCTGAATCCACTGAAAGAAAGCAATTTATTTAGTGTAAATGGAGTGATAAAAGGGAATTAAAAGAAGGGGGGGAAATCTCTCTAAAGGTTAGTGAATCATTTCTCCTAGCCAAGAGGAATAGGAGAGTTCCCCATTTTGTGGCTTTAGAGCTGTTCTAGATAACAAAGCAGGAGGCAATAAATCCTGCTTTCTCATAAAGGTGAACTTGATGATGAGCATTGCAATGCTGTGTGGCTCTGAGGTGCTGACAAAGCTGCTGGGAATGTAGAAATCTTTACCAAGGACTCCTAAATATGGTCTGTAATCTCAGAACCTTTCACTGAATGCTGCTTTGATTTGCTGTGCTTTATCCTATATAAAGATTCTGAAATTAAAGGGAGTGCTTTGATCTTAAATTTCAAATTATCAAAACTAATACTGGTATTACTTATTACTGGTATTGGTGTTCTTTTGGTTTTCCTAGTTTTGTTGGTTGGTGTTTTTTTTGGTTTCTTTTTTGTTTGTTTGTTTGTTTGTTTTCCCCTGGAACTACATTAAGTGAGGAGGGAGTCTTCAGTATGGTTTTTAAAAACTGTATGAGTGCAGATCTTATTATCCTGAAGTTTCAGCTATTTTCCTAGTGCTCATTTGTTACTCTTTTATTGGGTGCATGTTCCCCTTGGTACAGTGTGAATGTCCCAACCCTGTGCTTGCTTGTACACTCAGCAGGTTTGTTACAGTGCTTGGTATTCTGCAGGTAAAGTCACTCTGCTGAAGCAGTTGGGGTTTTATGATCAGACCGAGAGCTAACACAGTATTTTGGATTTTAGTCGCTGGCAACCTGATAAAAAAATGAGGGATCTTCACTGTGTTTCTTTTTTATCTATAAAATTTTCTAACCTGTTCTGTAATGCTTTCCTGAACTAATATGTACATATTTTTGCAGATTAAAATTGGAGGAGAGAAGAAAAGAGTTGGTACAGAAACTTGAAGAAACTACAAAGTTAACTACTTATTTGCATTCACAACTTAGAAGGTGAGACTGTACTGCATGATGTGAAACCTGCTTTGTAGTAGACCTGGATGTCCCAACTTCGTTCTTAGGTTTATCTCTTAGCTGGAAGCTCAGCAAAATATATTAAAGTAAGAAAATGCAAATGTAATAGCTTCAAGCATTTAGTCACCATGCAAATGTGGTGTACTTTTATAATTTCAGCAAATTTTCTAAGTTGATGGTTCTGTTATTGTTCAGTAAATATATTTTAAGTGTTTAGAAGGCCTGTTTGAATTATTTTTCCTGACATTTTTTTCCCAGCAATCTTCCAGAACCAAGGCAGTGACACTCAAGTTTCTCTGGCCCAGCAGGACTTCCTATCTCCTGTTATTAACAGGACAAGATTGCATGTTACAGCTTTGCCATAATTTACATTGTTGGATTTTTACTGTGCACGTGGAGTGCATGTTGTCATGCAGATGGGAAGCAGTTCTGCTAGAAGTTGTCTATCTGGCATCTTTCCCAGGTGCTTGGGCATAGAGTAGGCTGCATGAATTGCTCTAGAGGTGGCAACACTCCTGTGCTATCATAAGCTCCATCCTGGGGATCCCTGTGCCGTCACATTGACCACATGAGCACCCACATCAGAGTAGGGCAGGTTTCCAATGGATATAACAGCTGAGAAGGTTGCTGTTACTGTCAGACCAGTTTGTCAAATCTGCAGCCTTCTCCAGAAGAAAAGGGGTTTAGGCAGGTGGCCAAAGGCTGGGTAAATTGCCTTGGTAGTGTGCAGGTTGGGCACACTGAGCTAAGCCAGGTATAGGTGCTTCAAAAACATAATGTCCCAAGCAGCTTTTGGTTGTAATCTGTTACAAGGCAGTTTCAGTCAAGCTTCCCTCTCTTTGTTGTGTTTTGTGCTGGTTTAGTGTAGTAACGTCAGCATGTGTTTGTGCTTTCTTTGCAGCCTCTCAGCTAGTACGTTATCTGTGTCTTCAGGGAGCAGTTTGGGATCGCTGGCATCCAGCCGGGGATCTCTGAACACATCCAGTAGAGGGTCGCTAAACTCGCTCAGCTCCACGGATCTCTACTATAACCAAGGCGATCAATTTACAGATTTGGACTATCAGTACAAACTTGATTTCATATTGCAAGAAAAAACTGGTTACATTCCTTCGGGACCCATCACTACTATTCATGAAAATGAAGTGGTCAGTTCCCATGGGAGACTTGGTTACAGTGACTCTCCTTCAGCTGCAGACCATCCCAAATTGACTGAACCTCCTAAATCTGTGGCATCGCTGTCTTCCAGATCCTCACTCTCCTCCTTGTCCCCCCCAGGCTCCCCTTTGGTTTTAGAAGCTGCATTTTCAGTGTCAGCTCAAAATTCCCCTCTGCATCACCTCACTACGGACTTCGAAGACTCTGACCTTTCAGGTGATTTTGCAGGCATTAGCTTCTGCGAGAACCAAATATTATTGGACTCTGAAGCCAGAGCAGGATCTCGGACTCCTACAGATGATAAAGATCTAAATGTTAGGCAGCCTGTGCCTTCTCTACATGAAGGAAGTTCAGGTAATTAAAACAAAAAATCTAATGTCAAATGTATGTGCAACATGAAAATTAACAGCTGGCTCTTGAAATGAGGAGGCACCTTGTGTAACTGAAGAGTATCTTGGTCAGCATGCACTTGCATGTTCTGAGGAATGTTACCTGACTTCTAGTTTTGGCTGCAGAGAGCTGCGATCACCCTGAGTCTGTTCACATTTTTCAATAGCTATTTTAAAAAGTAAGTTCATGTATTGCAAGCTGTCACGAAAACAATAACACAAAAACCTGAAGCTGAATTTTGAAAGCATGGAGGATGCATGGTGTTTCTAGATTTTACAAGGATGTGTGGATGTAGAGCAAATACACTCTGCTGGCTTTTTGGTAATTTGAAATCAGAGACTTTGTTTCTCATTGAAGAAAAGTAAGTTACAAACTGACATTCTCAGTAAAAATGACTTCTGGACTGTAAATTATGTGTTATGTGTATCTAATGATTTGAGCCTGCTGTCACTGAAAGATCTGCAGTTCATTTTGAATTATGAAAGACAGGTGACTACATGCCATGTAAGTTACAGTGAGAGTTTCCCCATTTTTAACATGAATTTCACAGCTTTTAGCTTTTTATCCAAGTTAGAACAGAACTCCTACGTGAGTCTAGTCTAGTCTCCCTAACTGTGAGTTATCAAGGTATCCTTAGTGACTAGTTAACTTTAACTTTGAGGTGGCTAAATTAGGTGTGATGAACTCCACTTCTGGTCTGTATCAAAAGCCATACAGCATACTTAATCATCTTATGTTGTCAAAACCTTCGGAAGGTTTCAAAAATCCCAGCTGTCAAGGTGGCTCATGCTCAGTCTTAGAGTGCTCGCTTTGCTGCCTCTTGTTCGGGCTGACAGTATGTTGTGCTCTCTCTGCACATTTATTCTTCTCTAGTGTCATTCTGTGTCATTGTCTTCAAGTATGTTGCAAACCATTCATGTTTATGTTGCACTCTGTTTTCTCAAGGAAGAACTGAGTGAGACAGATTTCCAGTAGTGCTGAGCACTGGCAGCCCTATTTGAAACCTGGTCAGTACCTGGCATTTCCAACTGTATTTCTGAGCTGGTAGGGAAGCAGCTAACTAAGGAGTTTGGTGTTTTAGGGAATAAACATGGCCTAGCTCTTGAGTATTGTCCAGATTTGTTACCAACTTTGAAACCTTATGCTTGGAGTTTTTCAATTTTTAATAAAAGTACCTTGTCATATTCATACAGTTATATATTTTAATGAGAAATTTGCTTTTATTTTTTTCATTCTCTCAAGGAGCTGTTGTAATATCTGTTGTCTAATTAGATTAGCTTACTGCAGTACTGTGCTGATTTCAATGGTGGCCAGAGCAATGTGGCGTCAGAATAGAAAAGCATGGTGTGCTTAGTACAAGCTGGGAGGCTCCACCAAGTTTCACTGTGCAGAAAGAAAACAAGGAATTGACTGATGTCCTAATGGTCTGAGCCTGTAAAATGCAAAGTTGAAAAAGCAGGGAAAGGGAACTGGGGGGAATGGGTCTTTTTGTCCTTTGTCTTTTCAGGATAGTGTAGCACAGTGGTTATTTTACTTTAGAGCCATATTATGAAAGATTGAAACAATAATTAATTTTCCTGCCTGTATTTCAGCAGCATATCCTTTCCAAATTAACAACCATTTTCAGTCTGTCTTTGCAATCTGGCTGCAGCTCACTGTCAGAGTCAGAGAACTGAATTCAAAATGGCTTGGAATTTGGGAACTTTGGGCTATGTGAAATAAGATTTTTTTTTGAAAATTTATTTCTATAGATCATTATTTTCAAAGTCACTGTGTGATTCTCTAACATTTTTTCACTTTTTGAGGACCTCTTATTCTGGATATTGTCAGCTTGCCTTTTAAGTCTATATAAGTAGTTATGATTTTAAAATGTAAATTCATTCTGTGATTCTTCATGCTGATACTTCCTCATGTAGCACCACGTGCATAATACAGTTTGTCTTTAAACTTGTATTAAGGCTGCCAAAACAAGTATTTGAATTTTGAATAGCCAGGTATTAACTAATTACACTTCAATACCTCTGGTTTCCACAGTAAAATGGGCCTCAATGTGAGACTTCGGTAATTAACAGTGAGACACAGATCTGGGGTTTGTTCAGTGTTTCTACTCCAGTTTCATCCTTGGAACTGCTGTGATGCTGAATGGGAAGGTTTGAATAAATTCAGCCAGAGGGACTAAACCTGCATTGAAAATTTCAGCCCACACACTTAGGTTTTTACAGGACTACAAATCTGAATACTGCTGAATCTTAACTTGGGCATAGACAAACACTCAAAGGTAATACAGCTCCTAATGTCATGTAATCTGCACTGGCTCTCTAGATGCAGCGTTCACCTGCTTCTCTGGCTGTCTCTGACTTTTCTGTACAGGTGAACCATAGAGATATTTGCTCCTCTGCACATGTCCCTGCTGTCAGAAACCAAGTTGGAATATCTTGTAGTTCTTCCACAGTCAGTCTCTGTCATTGTCAAAGTCAATTCAGGCTGCTGTGGTAATTCCTAAGGGTAATCAATAAATCATGTCATCACCTTCACCCCTCACATGGTGAGGGGGAAGGGAAAGAGCACTTCATCATCAAGGAAAAAGCATTCCTACTGCCATAAATAAAAGCACAAATGCAACAATCAATCATCTAATCTAAAGCCTTAAATTTTAACATCTTAACAGGATGTAAAGTCATGATTCTGATGGGGATGATAATGCATACCAATATCCTCACTCCCTGGCAGATAAAAGGACTGCATAGACCCTCAGCTTGCTGTGCTGCAGAATGTGGCTTCGTGGCATGACACTCGCATATGAATGCAAGTTGAAGATTAAAGCTAAGTAGTTATTGAGAGCCTGTAGCAGAGAAAGTTTTTGATGACAGTAAACCAGAGAGGATTTTATTTCTAGCAGTTATATCACTGGGGAGAGGATGTCTGTCTGACTTTTGAATATTTAATAAACAGTAGGCAAGCACTTGGCATGTAGCTGCAGTGTTACCACAGTGCTGAATGCGGACGTGGCAAATACTGGTTTAAAGATCAGGGAAATGAGGGCTGATAATGAAGGATAATAACTAGCTCAGTGCATAAGGGTGATCACAGGAGTCTGTGTCTCTGGGAAGAAATAATAGTACATTTTCAAGTTCATCAGTCTGGTTATATCTGTAGCCAGAATATGTAGCAACAGCAGTACAGGCTCAGAATGTTTAATGATATGGAACAAAACTACTCTGTGATACTCAGCTAAGGGTCACCGCTTTCAACGTGACAACTTCCTAAGCTATGCTCATCTCTCTTTCTGACTATTAATCTCTTGGACTAGTTTTCATTCTTTTTCCCTTTTGTAGGTGGTGATTTACCAAGAAGAACAGCTGGTCGTCTGCTTGAGGAGAAAACAGCTTGTGTATCTGCTGCTGTGTCTGATGAGTCTGTAGCTGGAGATAGTGGTGTATATGAAGCTTCTGTGAAACAGTAGGTTTGAGAAATCATGCAAGTCTTTCCACCAAAAATTTAAATATATCTATGATCAGTTACACAGTACCTGCAGAAGTTGTCAACCAGCCCTGCCTTTTTTAGAAATAATTTGTATTTTCAGATGAAAGGAAGGCATATTTGCCAAACAATGAAGTTTGATCTGAGGGTTATTTTTTGTGCTTGTATAATTGCTTGAATAGCATTAATATACTTCTTTATAATCTTGGGGATTTTTTTTTTTGCTAGAAGCGTTCCCAAGAGAAAAGTTTGATTTAAACTATGCAGGTTCTGCCATGTGACTCTATTGACAATACTCAGGGCTACTGTTCTTACTTCTTGTTTTGCTAAGGATTTTTAAGATTGCATAGCCATTTTTTGGATTGTTTTTATTTTTAAAAAGAGGTTATAGAAAAGACATGAAACAACTCTGTTGTAATGTTGGTATTAAAATAATCCAGGTTGAGGCTTAATGTTCTCTGCAGTGATCAGGATATAAGGAACATATTTGCTGTTATTTTTTGACTAGACAACTTCTATAGGATTCTTCATACTAGTTTATATAGTATTGCCTGTAATTTTCAGTAATCAGCCTCAGGCCTTTCTGAATCATTGCTGCAGTTGTCAAACTATTCCAGCAGCAACTGTCCCTAAAACAAGCACTGTTGTTGTGTAGGCTCTGAAATTCTTATTTGGAGTGCATATTTAGGAGAATGGATATATGTTCTGTGTATGCATATCTTAATAATTGTTGAAAGCTAACTATAAATTTCCAACATTTGAGTATTTGCCTGGTTTTCCTAGACCAAATGAAACTGAGGACACTGCATATAGTGAAGATGATGCAACAACTCTAGAGCCTGCTCAGGTACAAATAGGACTCAGGTGAGTGACCAGCCAAGGGAATATTTCTGTTGATCCAGAAATGTGAATAGTAAACTTCCCTTGTGTTGTCCTTTCTTTAACAGATATGACCACAGCAATTCAAGTTTTGTGATAATCATAGTACGGCTTAGAAACCTTCCAGCGTTTCCTGTCCCCCTTGGCTCTAAGGTGTAAGTCAAACAATCACTGAGAGGTAGTTTTGAAAGATAAGAGTATAATAATAAATTCTAAAAATTCTCTAAAGGAATTGGTTGATTTATGGCTCAAGAGCACTGAAATATCTACAAAACTTTTCAAACTGTTGTAGTATTTAGCATTGTAGTATTTATGTAATATGTAGTATTTAGTATTTGCGTATTCCAGCAATGCAGCAAGAATAAATGTTATCAGAAAATTTGCATATTCCACTAAACTGGAATAAAAAATTATTTTGAAATGGTGTTTTATCTACTGCTTCTAAACATTCCAGCTTTGTGAGTGCAAAATATGCTGTATTTGCTAAAACCTTTCTTTTGATACTTTGGCATCCTTTCAGCTCAGAATGTTATCTTCTTACATTTATGTGTCTTTTTGATGTAAAATGATATTTAGAGCAGTATTTGTCTTTCAAGTGAGCTTTTAAAGGAAAGGGGTAATTTAATAAATTGCAAGTGGACAAGCACAGTCACATTGAGATACACCATCCCTAATTACTAGAGCTTGGAGGTCTGTTAAGAATTAGTTCTCAAGTCAAATTGGACCAACAAAGTCTAAAATGGACATGCAAAGTCTAAAAGAAAATTGCAGTTTAAATTGTATGTAGAAAATGAACAGAAAATCCTGAATATGTTACCACTGAGTTTCTAATCCAAAATTCTCATCTACACGTTGCCTTGGGGACACTTGTACTTGAGCAAGATTTTTGAGACTGTAAGATTTCCTTAAACTGTTGAAAAGCTTAATAAGATTGGAGAAGGATATAATCAACCCTTGAAAAATTTAGTTTTCTTGCTGGTTCTTTTCCCTTCGTATCCCATTGCCTTGAATTTGATTGGCAGGAAGCCACTGGATATGGAAAGGATGCATTAAGGATAGAGGCCTGGGTGCTTGCTGGATTTTTCCTCTTTGTTTTTGTTAATAACAAATGGTTATTCTACTGCTGTCCTTCCTTCCTTGGACTACACTTTCCTCTACTGGCCTTCCAAGTCCACTAACATTTAGCATAAGGAAACAGAAAAACTATAGAAGAATAAATTGACACAGGTGAGAAGAAAAGTAGATAATGTAGAATGGCAAAAAGATGTTCAGTAACATAAAGCTAAGTCAGAGCAGGCATCTTTTCAGGAATTAAAGTGTGAAGTTGTAATTAATAGTCAAGAAGTCCTGACCTGCTGCTGCTAAAAGAGATTTGATAAAATTAAAGCTACACAAAACAAGGAGGAAGAAGGGGAAGGGAAAGGCAGGATCTTGCAAATAGCATTTTTTCTGTCACTTGCACTTGTGTGCATATATGTATAATCTGTACCAATACATACAATAATAAAAATAGGGTCTGGAAAAAGATGCTACATTATAACTGCGTTTCCTAGAACACCAGTTGGATAAATCAGGTCTTTAGTGATGGAAGAATGGATTTGACATGAGGTGTTACTGATACTGTAAAAACTGCTCACTTTTAGCCCAGCTACAGCACAGTTGAAGAGTTACTGTGTCAGGGTCACTTCTTCATCTGTTGAGAAGTCATAGGTTTGTCACAGTAAAATCTGATTCATCGATTAACTCTTTTAAGTTTTTTAATTAAAATTAAAGTAACCACTCCTGTACAACTAAGTGAGAGAACAATTTCTTTCACTACTTTGTTTACCCTTCATTTGGCCTGATGCCAATAAATCAGCAAACAGTTATTAAAAGAAAGTTTCAATGAACCACCTTTTAAACATACCTTTGATACACTTTATCTTATATTCCTACATCTTTTATAAATGTTTTTAATTGCTCAGTCTATTGAAATGGCTGTTTTCTGTAGACTGACAATTGCTCACCTACAGTTATAGGAATACAGCAGCAGCATTACTGGAGTTACAATATGCTACCACTCCACCTCAGGACTGGCATGTCAAAATGCTGGATACCTGCTATCCTGGCTATACATGTGAACCAAACAACCTAGATTTTGCTCTTTATTCCAAGAAGTTTGGCATAACTGGGAAATAAAGACTATGTCCAAATTTAAGTAAAGAAATCATGTTTCTCACAGACCTAATTTCTTTTAACTAATGTGAAATTAAGTTTTTAATAAAATTAACAAAACTCTTCATGAAGTCAGAAAATACAGTAGTAGTGCTATAAATTTTGAGAGAAAGAGTGGGTCAATGTAAGTAATTCTGGAAAAAACTCTTTCTCCTTGCTTTAGCCAGCTTCACTGCATTCTATTCTCTAGTGAATGCCATTTATATTTAAAGCCAGTACCAGAAACAGACTAACAGATAGGCACAGAAAAGATGTAAAACTATTACTATGCTTATTCATGTGTATGAAAGACTGTGCAATAGGTAAATAGCACATACAAATTGCATTAAAAATGTCTGTACTGTGTCAAGCTGCTGCTAAAGTGAGACCTGCAAGTTAGCTAGTACAACTTTTATCCACATAATATCCATTCCTACTGGTTGTATGAAATGAATGCAGCCTTGTAACAATTTCGAGTTACTCTCTGTGCTTCAATTCAGGCTTGCAAGATGAATTCTTCCAAGTTTCACTTAATATGTTATGAATTGATCTTAAGCAGCTATGGCCCTAGCTATTTTATTGCTTGCTTTCCTTAGTTTCCTGCTTTCTTTGGAAATTTTGTTTGATCTGTTTCCTTAAAAGATTAAAAGACATCACTGCTTTTCAGTGCTGCTTGCATTATTCTAAGAATTTAATTTTTACATCCACCCCAGTTCTTCTCATTTTTTAAAATTAACCTTAAGAACATGTTTCCTCCCACCTGACATGATCTTCATTGTTTACAGTACTAAACTTGGATAGAGTCAGAAACTGCTACCTCTCTTGCTACTACTACCTTACCAGGCACAAAATGCCTTCATGGGAAATGTTTCTGCAAGGGACAGGAGGAGTTCCTCACTCATCTTTGTCACCTCATTTCCATTCCGCTGATAAGTTACTGTTCCATTTTGTTGCTATGCAGTCCTTAAGTTGATGGGGTGAACTTCTCTCATGCATCACCAGCAAGTGCCAGTTTAAACAGAGGTAAAGATGTTGTTTTGTTTCTGGCAGGTATATCAGAGTAGCAGTCCTTCCATCCTCCACTGATATCAGCTGTCTGTTCCGCACTAAAGTTCATCCTGCCATGGAAACCATTTTATTCAACGAGATATTCAGAGTAGCCATTTCTCAAGTAGCACTGCTACAGAAGACACTGAGAGTAGATGTTTGTGCTGGCAGTAGAAGTCCGCGGGAAGAATGCCTGGTATGTGGTTTTACTTCTGGTGCTTTTTTGGCATGCATTTGTTTATAGCGTCCCCTCTTATTTTGATGGTCAAGGCTGCTAAAATTCCACAGCACTTGGAGACAACGTCTGAAGCATAACTTAGCTGTTGCTATAGTACCTAGAATACTGCCTTTCTCTGAAACTCCTGGTACAGAATCTAATCTTGGATGGAAGGTGTTTTGATAATTCTAAGACTACTTTAACCGTTTAATTACAGATTTATATTCCATCTTTGCCATTTTATAAAACCCCTGTAAACTTCAATGCAACATTACTTCAATGCTAGGTTTTAAAGTAAAAACTGAAGAAGAGCCACAGTAAAAAATAATGAGAGCACACCCTCATTGTCACCACTTGTCACAAAGAACAAACTAAATTACATTTTGGACATTATTTTAAATTATACGATGGACACCTTCTTGGTCTTTATGATCTGTTGAAATAAAAAAAGGATGACATTTACAGATCAGCCCATTGGAAGCTGTCACTTTAAGTGTTGTTGTTAATCGTAGTCATCACTGAATCAGTGATGCTTCATTTACTTTCAAATTGCTTTTGCATGGTCTGGTACAACTCAAGTCTAGCTTTTCACCATGAGAGGGATTTTAGTAGCACAGTGAGATTTTTGCAGTTACCCCCCACACTGAAGAGATGCTGGAATCTGCTGGGGTTCATTGGCTCTAATTACTGTGAAACAGCCTCACTTTCAGAATGTGGAAGTTAACTTAATTCCTGGGGAACGTGTTGGCCTTTTTCAGTATGTAAAAATTTTCCCCTGAGGAAAGGGAAGGGCAGCAGAACAAAAACACAACCTCCAGCAGGATACAAAGGTGAAGAAAGGACTCAACAATAACAAAAAACCCCAACGAAGACAAGAGTTATTCCAATGATCAAATTAAAGAGTTGGGAGTACCATCCCCAGCAGAATGCCCTGGACAACATGACCAGAATCTTGGCAAGAGCTATGTGTGCAGCCCAGTAGCTGTGGAGATAATATGCTTTGCCAAAGAACAAAGGATTTTAATCTCCAAGGCACAGCCCAAACATGAGTACTTCAGAAGTTTTCCCAGAGTACCAACTCAGTGGATGCCAGCGTTTGTCCAAATGAAAGGTTTTCTTAATCTCTATTACTGGCTTTTCATCTCCTTCTTCCCTGGTTAGAGCAAGCAAGGTCATCCATTATTTGCCATATGCATGATTTTTGTGGTAGGATAATTGAAAAATCCTGTGGCACTTGCTGTCCCACAAGCTGGTGCTGCACAGGTTTTCATTACTGAATGCACTAGAGCAGGAGTGTGCAATGGTATGGTGTGGGGAGACATTTCTGCAGACTGAAATAAGAGATGGCAGAATGGACAATATGAAGGACATTTCCATGTACTTCTATTTGTCTACTTTAACTGGAAGTAGAGGGAAACAGAAAACTATACAGTTAGAAAGGAAATTAAAGTTCATGTCAAATTTTTGCTGCCTGTTGTGCATGATGAGTACAGTAGAAATATTTTGTAGGAAACAGAACAAATTTAAATAATTTTTTCCCTTATTTTGTACAGGCTGGGACTCAGATCAGCCTGGCAGATTTATCACTTTCTGATGAGACCTATACTCTGTGGTACAACCTGTTGCCTTGCAAGCAGAGTCCTGGCAAAAAACCCAAGGAACAAAATGACGAATACATGTTTCTGTTAAGCAAGCAATCACAGTCATTGGACTCACTGGACTTGGTGAGTGATGAGTTGGCTATTACTGTGACAGCAAGAAAAAAGCCAGAGACTCCAATTGTGTCATTGCATTGTAGCTATTTGAATGTGTGAACTGCCATCCCCTGAAGGTCCAAGGCCCTGTTTTGCAGGCACTTTTGTCTAGAGTGACTTTGTGTGAGTAGGGCCTTCAGCTCTGTTTCTTTTTAGAAAGAATGTTATTGAAGAGCTTCCTTAAGTGTGCCATTTATTTTCATATGCATACATTAAAAATTGCTATTTATTAACTATTTGAAAATTGCTATTGCCATTGCACTGAACATGCTGTTTATGCAAAACATACTAACTCTTCTGGTTAAATAAGCTTTTCTGCTTTAATCCCTTCTTAAGAGAACTGCACAGAAAATGTAACTTTGAAAAGCAACCTTTTTCACCTAAGAACAGTACGAGAGGGAAGATGAGAAAATACATTGAAGGATGACAGGAGTATATTTGATTGCATTGTCATTTTAAAACCAATTGTTTTTCATTGGAATTTACTGTGCATAAAAGTAATCATGCGATGTGCTGTACATGGACAATTCAAACCCCTTATCCTCATGATCTGGGGGTCATTGTGTCTGCTGACATCAGGGAGCAGTAGGGTAAAGCAAGCTCTTGCAAGAGTTGTCATTTTCCTACCTGTTATGTATCATTCAACTCTGGTTTCATATTTTTCTTTGAGCAGGATGCTGTGTCAGCTCTGCTGGAGAGGACATCTGCTGAGCTGGAAGCAGTAGAACAAGAGCTGGCTGAAGATGAGGAGAAGGAACAAGAGCAAAGGGCCACTGAGGAAGACTGGTAAAGACACTTTTCCTCCCTCACTGTTTATGCCTGAATGATTCAGCTCATTCTTCCTTTTCTTAGACAAACAAAAGGGCTGTACTTTTGGAGAACATAGATTCATAGAATGGTATGGGTTGGAAGGGATCTTTAGAGATCATCCAGTCTAATACTGCTCCCATGGGCAGGGACACCTTCCACTAGAACAGGTGGTCAACACCCCATCCAACCTGACCTTGAAAATTTCCAAGGACAGGACATCTATGGCTTCTCTGGACAACCTGTTCCAGTGCCTCACCACCAGTGGAATTGGAGTAAAGTCTTGTTCCCTTGTATGGTCAATTTATTTACATTCTTTTAGGTTTACAGTCTCTTGACTGCCTCTATGAACTCCTGCTGCCAGTGCTACTCCATTCCGTGTACATCTTCCTGTGAAGCCACTGGGAGTGTAGCAAAATATCAAAAAGTTGCATTAACTGTAACAGGCAAGCAGTTAGATTTGAAAAGAGAGCTGCTGTCTGGCAAAGTCAGTGTGGGTGTGCTTCCATTGATGGTCTTGTTTTTGAAGAAAATTTGAGCTTTCCCAAGAACAGATTTCTTGCCTAAATTGCTATTTCAGTTCTGTTGTTGTGCAATTTCTTAGCTGCAGTGTAGAAGAAAATACATGCTTTATTGGGGAGAAGGGGGGAGTAGCTTTTTGTTTTATGAACTCATAACGAAAGTCATTCAACATTATCAACATTACAGCTATTGAATATAGTGCAGTGCTGTCATAACGACCTTCAAGGTGAACTGTAGTAGTGCTGGGTTTTGCTGGAGGCAGCAAAGAAACGGGCCTTCACATGAACTTTGCGGAAACATTTGGATGATAGTTGTTTTCCCTGTCAGGAAAATGCATGCCTTACACATTAGTGCAGGTCTGGGATTTCTGGTATCTCTCTCTGTTGAGCTTTTTCAGTTTCATAATAAGCCTGGGCTACTTCTGTTCATACAGGCTAGAGATGCTCGCAGAGGCCTCTGATGAAATTGTGGATGAAGAGGAAGATGGCATTAGGCTGGAAGTAGAAGGTGACTGTAATGATGACATGGGGTTACTCATGGATGCACCAGAAATGAATGAAGATGAAGACAAGAACAGAAAGAACAGTGATGAGACCCAGGAAAGCCAGCAAGCTGCTGTAGTTCTAACGCTGGTGAATATCTTAAAATTCACATTCCTGCAGTATCTTACTATGCCAAAAAATCTATTTCTGAGCAATTAATATAGAAGTCTGCTGCATCTATGCATTTACAATTTGATGTGGCCTTTGCTGTAGCGCTTGTCAGTATGTACGTGTAACAAAATTGGTGTGGTCACTTCTGAACTATGAAGAGGACATTGGACAGACATGCTAAACAGGACTTCTAAGTCCAGGACAATTAACCAAGACTCTCTATCTTCACTTTTTTTGTTGTATATGGAGGACATTAAAAATACAAGAGTAGTTCAGTAGCTTCATCTTGTGCATATTTAAAATATTTCTGCACATCTGTTTCATTGTTTCTTTTTTTTTTTTTTCTGATTCGTCTGCTAGACAGGGAAAAACACATGACAATGGTCAAGATCTTTAAGCCAGTTCAGGGATTTCCTTATTTTTTCCCTAATTTTTGGGCGTGAAACACAAGAACTGTCTTAGCAGGAAAAAGAACAAAAGATTAATGAACAGAAAATTCCAAAATGTGTCTTAAAACTGTGTATACTTTTGAACAATTGAGGGTACTGTTGTACCCGCACACTGCATAAAGCAAATTCTAATTCCATGTTCTTGGTAACTGTTGTTTTTTAAATTATATTCCACTTTCCTGAAAGCACTTTTAGTAAATGTTTAGTAAACATATCTCTGATATGGTAGCACACTCTCAGAAATGAAATTTTTAGAAGCTTTCTGCAGCTTAATAAAAACACTGTTGCATGTTTTAAACCCACAAGTTTTATAAAATAACTGAAGTAAAAAGACGAAGAGTGACATCTCGTTCTTTCAACTTTGTCACAATACAAAAGTTTAACATCTCAGTGGACTTGCTGGAAACTGTAATTAACTTCCAATTAATGTGGCAAGATGCCAAATGAGCTAAGGCTGCAGTATTAAAAGGACTGACAGTCTGCTGGGTAGCAAGTAAATATAGATCAAAGCCCTAACTCAGCAAGAGGAGATGGCAAGGACGACATGTGAAGGTTAGACACGCACTCAAGTGCTTTGCTAAGCCTGGGCTGGGGAGACCCAGACAAGGAGTGAAAGACAGCAGTCTCCACTGCAGAGCCAGACACAGCATGGATCTCTGTATGCCACATGCTCTCGGGGTTGCTGCTGTGCTATTTAGGTCACTGTATTTATCTCCTGCACTGTGAAAACCATGGACCTCATTAAATTACACAAGTTGAAGAAAAAGCCCCATTGCTCATCAATGACATTGGATGTTCCAGCTGCTGCAGAGCTTGGTCTAGCCTAGCAGCCAGGATGAACGCAGCATGGAAGTAAGCACAGGCTGTGCCACCCACAGGGATGGGGCCACTTGAGGGTCCCTCTGGCACACGTGGGACAACTCTCGTAGGCAGCAGGCTGTGCTGAGGGACAGCAGCCAGCAGTGTCTTTTCCCTGGGTTCACAAGGCTGGTGAAGCTCTAGAGATTGCATACAGCAGCCCTGCTGCTGAGGCTTGGGGATGTATGGCAGTATGTCTGGAAGGACCCAGGCAGTGTAACTTTGCCAGCTGCCCCCTTTCAGTGTGCACAGGCACCATCTCTGATCTCTGGCATGGCAGAACCTTGCTCTTCTGCAAATACCAAACACAGTAAATATAAATGTGCAATAATCATAAGGTCTGTGAATGGCAAAGCAAAACATTACTTGCACTGTGTTTGCATCAAATCATCTGCCAAGCAGCAAAGGCCTTTCTGCAAAAGCTTTGGCTTTACTGGCTACAAAGAGTACCTTCAAAACCTCTCCACACACTCTTAAGCCTCTTGGGAATTTTGTATTTCTTTACTTGGAATAGCTTCTCTGTGAATGCACTGTGCTTTTTGCCGCTGGTCTTTTTCCATCCACCACACCGCAAGGTAATGAGAATGCTTGTGAAGTCTTGAAGGCACAGAAACTATGTGGAGGTATCTGTCTGGTTATAGTAAGTGTTATCCATTCAATTCCTGTTCCCAGGTTGATAAAGAGACTAACACTGAGGAGCTGGTAGGCGAGAACACAGCAGTCCGGCCCAAGGACAGAGCCAGCTGGAGCTCCAGACAGCGTCCCTTTGTCAGGAGCAGCATGATAGTGCGCTCCCAAACCTTCTCTCCAGGCGAGCGGAACCAATACATCTGCAGGGTAAGAGCAAAACCACTTGGAATGAAGAGCTATTAACCAAAGAGTCATTTAACTTCTTGGGAATGAAGCATTAATGACACTGAGTCATGTACTGATTTTCCCTTCAAGAGGCAGAGCCAGTGCTTTCTCTAGAGTCCTTCCCTATCTGAGCTGATGTATAGTAGAATTGACTTTCAGCAGAGTTGCATACTCTTGCAAAACACCTCTGCTAGGGCAAAAATACATCCTATTGGAGAGAAATAACACAGATGCCTGTGCTGGCTCTCTGCAAAAAGTGTTTCCCTGCATGTCAGCAACTCCAACACTCTCGCAGCAAAACAATTTGTTACAACATGAAATAGAATTCACTGTAAAATGCCATTGCATTACCATATTTTAATAATGCAACCATTTAAGGGTAACAGTGTGGAAAGAGCTCAGTCATCAATTTTCAATCTCGCTTTGCATCTCAACTGGTTTTAAACCTAGGCAGCCCAAATCCTGCTGTAATTGCATCTTTGAAAGATGTGCAAGCGCTGCCTCGGGGCTGGGTTTTAAACATGGCTTTGGCAGCTAAGTTCTCCAGTCTCTAGATCTATGGTAGCATGGAAAAAGAAAAAAAATATTTAAATTGTGAGTCATGCTGCTGCTAAACTAACTATGAAAATAATGTGTTTAAAGATTTAAGCGTGGACTGCCAGCTCTATAGATTTTAATCACAGATACCCTACAAAAGGCAGTTTATTTTGATCTTTAGTTTCTACAGGTTATTTATACAAGTATGTTTTTTTTTTAAAGTAATACTTATGCTTTAATTCCCCTGTTCAGTTAGAGGCATTTGCCTTAATCATATGGGAACATTAATGTTCATCACTTTTCTGTGATTCTCATAGGCCTAAAAAAAAAAAAAAGTCTTTAGTCAATACCTACGTACTTAAATAACGATTCTGTATACCCTCCAGAATGAAATATAGCAGATTGTTTTCTAACAGTTTTTACACAATTTGGATACATTATTGGCTGAATTCAGAAGCTAGCCTTCCTCTTAATTCCTGTGCTGGAATTTAATTCCTAAATGGAAATTAGTAGTATTAGCAAAAAATATCGCCTTAGCCTTCTGCCTATGTAAGTCTTCAACAGGAAGTAAAACTAGTTGTTTTAGTGGTTTAGTTAGTGTAAACTTCTGAGGCTTTAGTATCTGATAAAGTATTGGGTTTTTGAACATTGCTACAGACCTGCTGCCAAGAGCCAGCATTAAAAAAAAACCCCTTACCTTGAATAAACCATTCTGTTTCTCAGTGTGTATGGTATTGCCTGGAAGCAAAGTACCCTTTGAAAGGAACATGTTTGCAGATCTATATTTTGCAGTGTCAGAAGCACTCATTGCCCACTGCAGGGGGCTCCAGAGTGGGCACTGTAGCTGCATCCCTGTTCACAAAGAGGGCTGAAGAGCTGGAGTGTCCCCAGTCCCAGTCCCCAGCTTGTACCACGGGCATATCCAGCCTTCCTTGCATTGTGGTGCTGTACGAGAGGAAAGCGCCTGTTGGATACACTCTGGTGAAGTGCCAGCTGCTCTCAAATCAGAAGAGATGGCCTGGCTTTAAGAAAGCACCTCTGATGTTACAGAGAACAGAGATCTTTGAGGCCTGATGGACAGAACCAAAGTCTGTTCATGCTTTGGAAAATGTCCCTTAAAAAGTGCCTAAAGAACATTAGTGACAATAGCGGCCTCTCTGTATCAAGGAGTGAGCTCCCACTAATGGCTCATGGTGAAAAGACAGATTTGTCTCTCAAGAGATGTACTGTGTATTGCAAGTGATTGTATTTCTGACCCCCAGCTCCCAGTCAGCCCTGTGTAAGCACACTTTAGGGCCCTGCCTTTGCTTACTGAAATGTTAGCAGAACAATTCCTTTTCTTGTCTTTCCTGAAGAGCTGAAATACATACTCTGCAGAGAGATGCTTCTGACCACCTCTTGATGCTGATGCACCTAACAATCATTCTGCACTGATGTGTATGAAATAATGCTAAAGTTATGCCACTGCCGAGCTGTGGCACATAATTTTAAGAAGCAGAAAGTGCTTCTGAAGGAAGCTGTGGGCACACCTTTGCTTGTTACAATTAACAACAACACAAAAATTGTTGGACAGGTGCATGCTACAGTAATTCACATTTCCTGTAGTAAATTTGTTAAAAGCCTGCCCCAGGTAAGCAAAATCCATAGTTTGTATCTGCAGCCAGACAATGATTTGTCAGTACTTAATAACCTTAGTTACCTTCCTTGCATTCCTAAAGAGTCTTACTGTTGTCTTGGTGTAGGATTATAATTTTAGAGTAGATATTTATTCTAGTTGCAAACTTGTTAACTTTATACTAAGAATATGACCTACATGTTTATAAAGGCTGAGGTTCCCTGACTGGTTCTACCAGTGCAGGTGTATTTGCATATGGAGGTGCTTTATGTCTGTTTGTTATGTACATTTTGGCAGTTGAATCGCAGTGACAGCGACAGCTCCACGCTAGCCAAGAAGTCTCTCTTTGTGAGAAACGCCACGGAACGACGGAGCCTGAGAGTTAAACGGGTATGTGCTGTTACCTGGACAGGGTTTAAAAGCAACTATGGGGCACTGGGAATAAATACGCTTTATTTCAAGTATTTCAGCAAAACCAACACTAGTACCATAATTCTGTCCTGTAGTTTCATGTTGAAATATCAATGTAGTGGTCTCAGTCCAATGTCAGCTCCCCTCCAACAAAGCCTGTGTTTTAGTCGTGGCTGAAGCCAGCAGTGAGACACTGATGCTCAGCATCGTGACATTTCTTGTTGAACTTGAGTTACTGTCAAGGGGATCTGTGTTAAAGAACGTGACACAAGGTGGCCTGTGCTGCACAAAAGTCAACACCAGCAATATACATCTTGAGCAAATTTTGGTGAAGATTGCAAGGATTTAGATGTCCTTTTAAAGGGAATTGACTCTCCACCTAAAGTATTCAAGTAGCAAAAGGATTGAAGGACAAGAGAGTAAGAGTCTCTTGCATGGAATTCATTCTTACATTAATTTAGAGAGTTATATTTTAATCTTAATTGTAACTAGAAAAATAGTCCTTTGGAAGCCTTGTTACCAGGAAGCAGGATACATTTTGCATAAGAAAGAAAAGTCTGGGATACTGAATAGTCTGAGGTGGCTTCTCTTTTCCTGCCTTACTTATGCAAAAAGTCACTGTGAAAGGACAGTAAATAATGTGAAATATGCTGAAGAATGTGCATGTTTACAGAGTTTGTAACATTATGTGTTAGGCCTTGAAAAGCAAATATTTACAAAAATAAATAATGTAGTTGATATCTGTGGGGAATTCTGTGTAGTGTTGTGTCTTCTGGCAGTGTCATCCCAGGGATCAGAATGGGTTTTTGTTTTTAACTTTAAATATATCATTGTGCACTTGGTTGGAGCATTTATTTTTAGCCAATGACTAAAGAAAAATTCCAAGATGGGTGAATTTTTTCACTTCAGAAAAAAAGCCTGGTAAACCCCCACCTCCCCCAGAATATTTGAGCTTTTCTGACTGCAGTATGTCAAATTCTCCACCACCCTCTCTAGGTGTTAATTTTTACTGTTGTGTCTCCCAAACGACTCAGCCTGTTTGCCAGCCCATCATGCAAAGAGCTGCGCAGGAGTGCCCCGTGCGCACTTCCCTGGACTTGGAGCTGGACCTCCAGGTGTCGCGCACAAGACAGAACCGTCTGAACGACGAGCTCCAGGCCTTGCGGGACCTTAAACAAAAGCTTGAGGAAATGAAAGGCAGAGGAGAGGCAGACCTTCCTCTGTGTGTGCTAGAGGATGAACGTTTCCAGAAACTCTTGAAACAAGCTGAAAAACAGGTATGAATGAGCAGCATTCACAAATGTGTGAGCATGCCCCTACCTTTGATATAAATTTGTTAAAGAATTTGCTCAATGGTGTTAAAAGCTTTTTACAGAAGCTCACATTTGACTAATTATATCTCTGAATTACATAGTGTAAACTGTGTCTTTATTTTATATGTGTATATATATATATATATATCAATACTGCAACATTAAACGTAGAATTTGAAGTAGCATTTTCTTCACACCCTCTAAATACTTTGATAAGTCATATTAGAAACTCTGTTATTGGGAGTAGTAGTTGTAGTTGGTGTAGTAAAATAGCAATTACTTAAAAATTAATTTAGAATTCTCACATCCCAGCCATGCTTTTACAGACTGGCATGTGCTTCCTGTCCCTCAGCATCAGTTGCTTTGCACTCTGCACAGAACTTGTAGCCAAAAGATTATTGTAACAGGTAGAAGGAGCAATTACCACTACCTAGAGTGGCAGGTGCAAGGGGAAGAGGTAGTGGATTATTTCTTCATGCAGGACATACTCGTTTTGGCAAAGGAAAGCCAAATTCTGTTCTCTATGTGATGGTTTCTTGAACAGTACAAGTATATATGCACTGCCATAAGGTGGCATGTCCCCACATAATTAAAAGACAAGAAACAGGATAGAAGAATCAGATGCAACAGTGAGAAGTTGGAATATGGAAAAGTCCAACAAGATACATTAATAAGTTAGATGTTGTGGGGCTTTTATTATGTTTTTGGGCGATTGTTTGGTTTTTTTAATCATTATGGAGATCATCGACTGGAATAGGGCCTTGGAGAGGTTGTTGGAGGAATTAAAAACCCAACCAAGTAAAAAAAATTAAACCCACACAACCTGCACAGTTGGAGGTATTCTAAACCTAAGTGGTCAAGACCCTGACTACTCAGCTCTGGCATCATCTGCTGTGAGCAGGAGGCTGGAGTAGACACCTTCTGGAGCCCCCTTCCCATCCAAGTCTGTCAATGTACATCAGCTTTCAGTGAGGGGAGGTTGTGAGTGACAGCCAGGAGGGATCTGTGCTCCTTAGCTCTTTATGGTTGATAGAGACCGGTGTTTTGATACACCAGCTTATTCAGAGTTGTAAAAATGGAAAGTTCTAACAAGGTGCAGAGGCCCTTCTTGTATGTAAGCAATAGTTGTTTGTTTTGTTGTTTTGGTTTTTTTTAAGCTAAATGTCAGTAAATAGCCTTGTGTAGAAGAGGAAAGGATGATCCTAATATTTACATTCAGAAAGCTGAGCTTTTGTTAGGAAATGTTAGGAATGAGGTACTCCACACATGAGACACAAAACATAAACAAAAACATCGCAGGATCAGCAGATGTCAAAAAGCAAATAAGACAGGAATTGCTAAGAAAAATACTTGGAACAAAACATTTCATTGCCTTAAGGTCTAAATATTATTATGCTTGTACCATAAACATAGTCCATTTTTGGTTTCCCTTTTCAAAGTGGATGATAAAATTACAGAGTCAACAAGGGTGGTCAAGGGAGGAAACAGCTTCTGTGTAAGGAACAGCTAAGTAGCTACAACTGAAATACATACAGCCATGAGTGAGCTGGAAGAGAGCAATGAATCTTGGTCTTGTATTCTCCAAGAAGGGGAAAATCAAACAGATGGCAGGTTAAATGCAAGCAAACATAGCATGACATTCAGAAACTGTAAAAATGTTTGCAATAAAACATTGAGTGCTGCAAGTTTGCATAGGTTCAAAAAATTATTAATTTATTAATTGGCTAAATTCGTGGTAGAAAAATGCATGTAATGGCACCACATATTTCAAGAAGTCCTTGACTTAGGAAATAAGACTTCTCCCCAGCATGCTCTGCCAATTCTACATTTATGTCCTGTTGTGTCTTCTGGTCTGTCTTTTGGCATCTATTGTTGGATATAGTTAGTGGAGTGCTAAAATGACTATAAAACACTAGCAGAGTTTAGGGTGAACATTGATGAGTGTTCTGAAAAACACTGGGCAAAATGGGGGAAGATAGTGTAACTGGTTCACATGGTTTTTACCATGTGAATTCATTATATTAATTTGATCCAAGTTTTAACCCATAAAAATAGTAACTTATAGAAAAGAAGCATAGCTGAATTTATGTGGAATTTAATAGTTTATATCCAATACTGGATGCAGGATAGAAATTATATTTTCTGAGTGTTTAATTTAAAACTACTCCCATTCTAAAACTGTTCCCTCTAGAACAGAGTATGCCTCTGCAACATTTCATATTATGAATCCTTTGGATTTGTGTTTTATCTCAGCTGGCTCTTCCAAGGCAGGAGGTAGGTTTATCACATTTTTTATAGTGTCAGTGATTAACACCATTACACACACTGGTGAACAGTAAGAGTAATAATACACATTCCTAAAATCTATGCGCAGCATTTAAGTCCTCCTTCCTAAGGTAAAAGTCAGAACAATGATCACAGTCACTTCACCTCTTTGAAGAATGCTTACAAAGTTTCTAGAACTATTTCTACTCTTAAAATCACTGCAGCCTTCCCCTGCGGAGCAAAACAACCCTGAGAGCACTGTACTGTGTTGTCAGTGTTTCCCCTTGGGTTAGCAAAACACAGCAGCCTAGAGAACATCGTCATAGATTATTTCTTAGAGCCTGCAGGCATTGTAATGGCACAGACTAATGCAGCAGCTGGAAACGCCAGAGAAATTGAGAGAGTCTCAAGTGAAAAATGAAACCGCAGATGCGGGGGATGTTAAAAATCAGTGGCTGCTTGCTAGCACGCAGTTAGTTCCTCTGCTTGAAGCCAGATCCACAGCCTCCATACCTTCCCTCTCATTCCTTCCACACCTTCCTAAGTACAGCAAGTATGTAATGCCCACTAATACTTGCAGATCAGAAAACAGAGATAATTCTGTGCACCAGAAGTGCATTTTCTCTTGTTTAGATTGGATGTTTGTGAGAAATCATACAATGTTTCAAAGTCTGATTCTTAAATCCTCATACAGGTAAGTTTTCAGACACCTAATGTACTCTAAAGTACTACTGCTGTTTATATCTGAAAAATTCCTGTAAATATCTTCTTTATTTCTTCTTTATTTCTTTTTAGTACATAATTTATGTTGAGGTAATGTGTAACTATGTCATTAATACCAGTAAGTATGTCCTTGTCCCAATGATTTGGTGTTCAGCACAGTTAGTTTTTCTTTGGATTCAGTTTTTTCTATACAAAACCCATGGAAGAGCAAGACAGGAAATAGCATTTCAGCTCTAATTTTGATAGTATTTCTTCTTTGTCATCTTAAACTATCTTAAGCTTAAGCTAAGCCCAGATAGAGAGATTCCTATCTGACACTTATATTTGGTAGATAAGTGTCATGAATGAGTGTTTTCAGGTTGTTTAAAGAATCTGAGATCATACTTTTGCCGGGGGCGGGGGGGTACATCACCACAAAATGTGCCAGATTTTGGGACTTACTGAATGTCTGTCCCTTGTGTTAGTGTGATTTTCTGTATTTTTTATAAAGCACTCAAAAACCATAATGCAAATATAAACGTACATACCTTCTAATACACATATTACTAGAGACATTGGGCTGAAATCCAGGGACGCTCTCTCAGAGCGTCCTGAAAAAATAAATGGATTCAAAAATGAAAAAAGGATACATTGTAATAGAGAGTATGAAAACAAGTCATCTATGCTCTTAAACCTGAAATGCAGTCATCACAAGAATCTCATGTATAGTTAGGGAAAGGATAAATTAGAAAATTTTGTAATATTGTATGTTTAGTACTTTGATGGTAAATATTAATTAGGGGAGCTGGTAAAACATATGATCAGTGACATAGGTAAAATTAATTAAGACATTACCAGCTGTAGATTGCAAATTTATGTTCATTAACTAATAAAGGAAACAATATTTATAGATTAATTTAGTTTTAAAATCATAGCTATTTTGGAGTTGGGGACTGAAGAAGTTAACAGCAGTGCAAGCTGACTGGATTTTGAGTGAGTTTTTTGAAAGGGTGATTCTCTTTCATGTAAAACACTTTCATATAGAAACCAGAGTACGTTTCAACAGACAGAGGGTACCACTATCCTGCTGTGAGCAGCTTTCTTATAACTACCCAGTATGAAACTGATAGTATGGAGTAGCTCTTTTGAATTAGTTGGTTTTGTTGTTTAGCAGTCTACTGGGTTGAATTCAGAACTGGGATGTGAACTTCTAAGTCACAAACTAGCTTTGAAAATTGCTGTTTCAGCCTTGTATGTATTTTAATTTGAGGTAATGAACAGCATTTTCAAGTCTCTAAAGAATCAAAAATTAAAGTCTCAACAACTTTATAGTTGTTTAAGAATGTGAGCTGCTTCTATTGAATTTTGATGGCTGACAAAATTCAAAATACAATAAATAACATTTGTCTGACAGCCTCTGCACTCTAGAAAAGCACTGTCCACACCATGCACCCCACATATGATGTGGGCAACAATGCATTTGTTACAGAACTCACCTGTGTAGAAATGGGGGTCATTTATATGAGAATTTCAGGTGACTGCCCACCTAAAAAGAGTTACTGTTCAAATTGCTGGATATTCAGAAACCCTTGCTAAGTTTTTAAAGTTTTTAAAGCCAAAGCACAGGTATTAATAGCAGTCTTGTTGCTGAAATTGTGGATGGCATAGCTGCAGCTGTCCTGTTGATGCTTAGTAAAGACATAAGTAATAGAGCTGGCAATACCGAGATACGGAAATTCAGTCACTTTACTGTGGGGTATGTAGCTGCTCAGCAGTGCTCACAAAGTACCTTTGATCTCTTGTTACCACTGGTGTTCCATTCACTTGCCTTGGCTTTTATGCCTCTACAATGCAAATGAAAGAAGTGAGTCTCGTGCAACATAGATACTATGTCATGAATAAAGTCACAAAAGTTCATGTTCCTTGCTAACATGGTCAACAAAACCTGAAAAGGTTGAGAGCATGCCTTCCCTACTGTTTCTGTTAGTCTCTTTAGAGTAGGTATAGACACCTTTCCTGAGAGCTTTTGTCAGGAAATAGAAGTATTTTATATCGAAAGAGAACCAGTAGCTCGCAGTTCTAAAAAGATGCTTGGATAGACAACATGTGTTCATACAATGTTAGGTATTGTCTAACTACAGCTCCAAGAAATATCAGAATTTACAAGCCCACCTGTGACATCACAGAATTTGCCCTATTTATTTATTTAGGAAAAGCCCCATTAGCTTATTTCGCAGCCATGGCTTAGGCTTATGATGTCAGTCTTTTATCTTGCTGACCTTTTATATAGAGATTATCATAGATTCATTTAGGCTGGAACAGACCTTTAATATCACTGAGCCCAACAGTAAACCTGACACTGCCAAGTGTTTTGCTTGACACAAAGCATCTCTCACTTCTTTGAAATGAGTAGTTGTTCATTATCAGCAAAATACAGTTGTTTTTCTTGATACAGGCAGAACAGTCAAAAGAAGAGCAGAAACAAGGTTTAAGTGCTGAGAAATTGATGAGGAAGGCTTCTAAGGATGTGTGCCGGCTACGGGAGCAGAGCCAGAAAGTGCCACTGCAGGTGCAGTCATTCAGGTATGGCCTGTTCTGATTTTCATGCTCTTTTTAATGTAGTGAAGTAACATGAACTGTTTCTAGGTATAATCAGACATGCTCTGTAGTATTAGTAAAAATCCAGATGGCTTTGACTTGCCAGAACATCACAGATTTCTAACATGGCTCTGAGTTGGAGTTTCAGAGGGCCGGGCCTCGATGACCTGCTCATGTGGCAGTTCAGAGGTGGTGAGGAAGCTGAGTGGAGTGTCACACCCTGTGTGACATCTGCTCTAGGCAGGCACGTGTGTGACTCTTGCTGTAGCTCACCTCACCCACAGCAGGTTGACAGCGGGCTTTAAGTCCTGGGAGCTCTTCCAGTGATGGCAAGGGCCTGAAACAAATGGCCACTCAAGGAGAAGTAGGGCAGGATACAGCTCATCGGGAAACTCATTAACCACTACTTGTGCCTTGCTCAAGACTTAGTATTTAAGAAAGATCTTGAATCCCTCCTCTTGTTTTGTTTCCCTTCTCTTTTTGGTTGTGAAGCAACCAATTATTTGAAGCAATTAATGAAGTGTTCTTGCTTAGCACAAGACAGAATGAACACTATTTATCTTAAACCTTAATTCTCACTGATCTAAATTCCTAAAAGACTGGCCAGTAAGTGGCAGGGCTTGCAGCCTGGAGGCCACATTTCTATATAAAAGTAAATACAAATCTATTGATTGAAAAATGCAGTGCTTGCTCTTGCACATAGAAACAGTACTGCAAGTTAATTTGGTTTGTTTTGTCAGTTACCACACATTTTTCAAGTTTGAATTTTGGATTCCTTTATGAGAAATTTAAGTCAGCTGCTGAGACTTTTTTTCTTTTTTTTTTTAACCTTCTTTTGTGAGCAGTTGGAGAAATCCATAAGCAAATAGGGGCCTGTGAGGCAGCGTGTATTGCAAACTGTAAGTAAGTGTTGCAGAGTCAAAGCAAGAGAGAAAGGAAAGAGTTTCCTCAGTTAAGATGTGTTACAGCTGAGTTATTTATCTTCAGTTTGAAATTCAGAGCATCCTGAAGATTTCACTTTTTGTGCATGTCTTGAGAAAGGGTTATGGTCAGTGCTGGTCATTTAAGCATCATCACAGACAGACTGCTGCCTAAATCTACAGGAATGTGTAATAGTGCCTAAAACCCCATTCCCCTGCAAGAAGGGTATCAAAAGGCTCTATTTTCCCTTATTTTCTAGTCACCACACAACTAGGAAGAGAAAGCCAGTTTAGGATGATTTTGCTCTGAGCTACTGTTTTTTATGGGAGCTCAGGCCTCTCCAGTGGAAAACATGGTTTAGTCTTCTGGATAAATACTTACCTCTGGAGGCTGAATTGTGCATGCCCTGCTAGTTGGACTTGTTACAGTGCTGTGGCCTCAGACTAATCACAGTGAGACATTTTTAAAGCTCTCAAGAAGCATGACTCTTCTGAGCTTTAATTTTTAAGCCCCCATACTTCTCTTCTGCTTTCTAGCCTGCTGCTAGGCAACGTGTGTAAACCTGTTATGCTTCAGTAATGTCTCGGTTCATAGGTGACAGAAATGGTAACAGCACAGGGGAAGCAGCTGGAGAATGGCTTGACAATTCTGCTTCTCTGAGTCTTGCCCAGACATGACTATTCCCCCCTTGGCCTTTTCCCATGTCAGGATAAAATGATTTATTTTGCCTTCTCATCCCCCTACTGAAATTATCATCATTGGAAATTCAGTGACTGGAACAATATTTCAGTCTTATCTTTGCAGTTATTAATGAAATACTGGTATTTTTTCTCTTTCAAAATTGGAACTGCTTTTTACATAAATCTGCATAAGAAGTTAATTGTGTCAGAATGCCACATTCGTTGTAAATAAATTTTCTGTGTATTTTCCAAACCTGTGTTTTAAAGAACTATCCTCTAATGTTAGCAATGCTACAGCAGATGACATTGGAGTCATGCCACAAATGGTAAAAAAAATCCCTTGTTTTCTTTTCTAATTTCAGGGAGAAGATAGCATACTTCACAAGAGCAAAGATCAGTATACCAGCCCTTCCAGCTGATGATGTATAATTATGCAGTTTCTTTGAAGTGTTTTTTCCACTTGTTCATCTCTTTTCAGATGAGCTTTGTAGTTCCAGTGATGTGCTTTCAAAGATCTTCTATTTTACATTCACTATTGATATGTTTATTTGTAAAATATAGTGAACTGAATTGTTGTAAGCTTAAGAAATGGCAAAAAAACCCAACAAACAGAAAACCAAAGTAGATTAATTTTGGTATGCTGATTTTGTACAGTTTGTGTGTATTGCATCTGTGTTTTTATTTTGTAAAGATGGAACAAAGGAACAAAGGCAGTACTAAGCATGTCTCCTGTTGAACTGCACTGTGTTGAGAATAATTATGTTCAACAGACAATTGTTTATCTTTTCACTATTTTCATGTGAGCAGACTGTGAAAATGGCCATTCTGCCATGCAATACTTTTGTACAAGAGTGTAACTTTTACAGTTTAAAGTTAACCACAAGTGTAAGCTCCTTTCCAAAACATCCAGGCTGCCTCACTACAGCTGCTGATTAGATTCGTCATCCACGATGTAATTTTGTTTCTGAAAACAAATTTCTTCTGTTTTTTTTTTTTTTTTTTTTTTTTTTTTTTTTTTTTTTTTTTTTTTTTTTTTTTTTTTTTTTTTTTTTTTTTTTTTAATACTTTGTAGGAAGACACGGAGTTCAGAGTTTAGTTTTGTGAATGTACAGTACTTTAACATGCACTAAAAGGTTTCTTGCGTCTGCGGGAGAGTGAGAAAGGCAAGGCAGACAAGTAACCCTAAAAACTTCCTTTGAGACTACCAAAAGGGGCAGCTGCTTTCAGAAGAGGATGAATCAAATTCATAATACCACTATTGAAATACCCACTGTGCTCTTAAAACAGAGTTTTTCTCTGTTGTTTGTCCTAGGGGGCTGTCTGATTGCCAGCTAGGAATAATGAAGGAGTATGCTAGGTTTGCAGATCTGAAGATGCATCATGAAAGTATTTATACCAGAAAAAATCTCTGACATGCTAACACAGACAACAAAAGTCCTGTTGGTAAGGTAAACAATTTTCTGAAAAAGCTCCTTACTAGAAGTCTGCACAAACTTTGGTACAATGAATAACAATTTTTAAAATATACAATTGACCCTGTATGCAGTTAAGGGTGCACATGTTTAATGAATAGATGTGAACAGCTTGTTTCAAATGTCTTACATGCTTCTGCCTAGCAGGCTGCTTCATCAGAAGGCAACTTGGATGCCTTCTGTTAGAAGTTCAGAACATTGGATGTAGGTGTTCAAACAGTCCTGTCTTGGTAAAGCAGTTGGGGTCATCTTCTGTGGATACTGTGTAAGTAGGTGGACATTGCAGAGACCAGAAATATTTTATTTTCTACTTAGTATGTTGCACTCAGATGTGTTTCATTCACTGGCTGCAGTTTTGTTCCCCAAGCAACAAGCCACACTGCATGAACTTCATCTTTCAGAAATGTTATAATTACTTGCTGAGCAAATGGAAACAATATAACTACAATATGGTAGCAGCTGTCTTAGATTTAAAGTGACAATTCTGTAATGACAGGTCTGTGTAACACCCAAGGGTTTTCTTATGCACAAATACATCAGTTCACTGAAATATAAAGCCAAACATGCTATTTTGAGCAAGATGACTGATTGAACATCCTTTATGAATGCCCCGTTTGTTTTTTGTGTCTTGGGTTTGAGATAACATTCATGTTTGAAAGGTCAATTAAAAAAAATCTGGAATTATTTAATGTAGAGGTGAAATGAAGGTTGACAGTTTCAACTTCTCAATTTGATTATATAAGGTGTTTGTAAAATGATGTTTAGAGGTCTACTTTATGATTTTTCTTTTATTTATTTACAGTCTTATTTATGTTCTGTTTAATATAGTTCAGTTCTGGCCATACAAGTATTTGTCATTAAGGATGCTATTGTGAAAAATACTTAAAGGTGTCTAAATTCTTGCTCAGTTAGCTGGTTTTTCTCAAATGTTGAATAATTTTCCAAAAAAAAGTATTATTGTCTGATTTGTAAGCATAATGTGAAGTCAAAACTTAAGTATTGCTAGCTTCAGCTTACAAAACTCCTTTAAAAATGAGAGACAGACATATTCATGCTCTTCATTTTCCAGATTGGTAAAGTTGAACATATTTATAGGCAGCTTTTAACAATTCTGGGTTTGGAGTTTGGGGGTTTTTTACTAATTCAGCGTGTCACACTTGAAACACTCAATAGAATAAGCTAAAATATTACATACAAATAAACTCCCATCAGTGTAAAGTGATAAATATTACTCTTGAAGTGAAATTTATCCTGCACAGCAGGGTATAACGAATGTAATTAGTTCTATTGCCAGGTACCAATGTCAGTGCAGTTGAATATATCAAAAAGTAAATATTACTGGTACAAGAATATTTAGCCAAATGAGCAAAGTTTAGCAGAAATTGTAATAGAACACAAATAATTTTAAAATTATTTTTCTTTTTACTTTGCTATGTTTATACTGTATTAAATATCAAATGCTCAGGACTGAACTAAATATTTAATCAGGTTATATTCTGAATGTGTTTCTGTTCTAATTTTGTCTGTAAGAGTATGCAAGTACATTACATAGATTAACTTGTCTCTGCACTTTTCATGTGTTTCAGTGATTGGAAAATACATTTTTTAACAAAGCTGTTTTCCAGACCAGTGTTTTATTTAATTCTTTAATTGCTCTTCTGTCTCTCTCTATGGTCTTTGCAGAAACAGATGGCTGCTACAGCTTTGTCAATGTAAAATCATGGCAATTTATAGAAAGTTCACATCAATCACTCACAGTTGTAAGGATAAGTTACATGGAAACTGATTCATATACTTGAAGTTAGTTCTTTACATTCATGAAGTGAAAACTGCACCTGCAATGAATATGGTTGAGTCTCCTCCAGACAACAGCTCATTATTGCCCAGAAATACTGGCTTTCCTTGGAGAGAAAGATTGGGCAGAGACAGAGGTGGTCATATTCTCTCTCATGATGCAGAATCTTGCATTACATTACACAATATCTGAGAACATTTAGTTTACTGTAAATAATACAGGCTCAGCAAACTTCATTTAAGGTTGTACTGCATTAGGTTTTTGTAGTGAACTGGTGATACAAACTCTTTCAGATTTCAACTAATATTCTTTTGTAAAAGATACATAAAGCAGCCCCAGTTGGAGTTCTGCCATTTAAAATATGGTCAAGTCTCCATGCAGGCCTAGAGATTAAAAATTTTATACTCACTCCCCCAAGTCATACCACAAAAACAAAATCTGCCATTTATCAGACTTGGGAGAAATACAGTGGTGAATTAAATTGCCATAGCTCATCAATTCATGTAATTAAAAGTGGAAGTAAGTAGTGATTGAAGGAACTACTCGTTAAGAAAGAATCCCGCCCCCGCTCTTGTAAACAGTAACCTGTCTGTTCAGCAGGTCTCTGACTCTTACTGTCATGCAAGCAAGATGTTAGAAAACCTGATACGTGCTCTTTTTTAAGTCTTCATTTCCAATTTCCAGATGCTGATGGGTATCTTGTATATCTGCCATTGGATACTGCTCTTGTAAGTGATGGTCAGATGATAAACACATTGTGGAGAGGAGTAGAGATTCCCCTAGAATTAGAATAAATCCACCAAACTGAGCACTGAACAGTGCATCCCCTAATTTCTGTCTGGGCAGAATCTCTGGGATGCTGCCATTCCAAATCTCCTGGATTACAGTGTAAGCAAGGGAAGGTCTCCAGATATCACCTGGAGTATTCTTCCAAGTAGTAACAGCTTTTCTTATCTTCTGCACTGTATCCTCCATCTTTAGACAGTCCAAACCAGGACTGGACATCACAAGGCTCAGAAGTCCTAGTCCATTTTATGTAGCTACTAAAATCATGGAAATCTTGAATTCTAGGAAAGAATAAAACTCTTTACACTGTGTTCCTACATCATTTGCCAGAGTCCCATGCTCCAAAGCTCAGGTGCATTTATAACTACATTGAGATTTTTCCAGCCTGGTAAGTAGTTACAGGTATCAGTGAAAATCCTTCCTAGCACAGACAACAGAAATCCAGCTAACAGTAGCCTGTGTCTGCTTGCCAAGTTCATTTTTTGTAATCACAGAAGCACCAAACCATTGGCTTCTGCAGGCACTGTTCAGCTCAGTTCTTTGTCATACTCTGTCATACATAAGCACAAGTTGGTATGAAATACTATGGTGCATGAAATACTTCTCCCCTCCCTCCTGCTTTGCTTTGCATGGTTCCATGTGCAGTGTTTGGGGGAGTGGTGGTGTGGTAAAGCAGTAGCAGAATGGTGTGGCCCCAGCTGGGCTAACTTTTCATTAGCTTTTGGTTTGTTTTTTTAAGAAAAGCATATACTTGGTTTTCTATCAGTCAGCTAAAGCATAACAGCAGTTTTGCTGATTTGGCAGCTCACAGTTTGTTTTTAAGTTCTAATATACATTGATGCACTTCCACTTAGAGTAAATTATACCATCTGCTTTGTGGCCAGTTAAATGTCATATGTTTAATGTCAAATATACAGCAACATGTTCCAAACATGAGTGAATGGAACTTTAGGGACCTTGGATAGGATGCATAAGGACTCAAGACCTGGTCAGAGGAAGATAGCTACACTGGTTTTTAAAGCAGCATTTCTCAGCCTATATTTGGTGCATAAAGCATGCAGGTGTTAGAATAACTTGTATGGGCAGTTTAATGTGGCAGACTGGAAAAACACAGCTTGCTGGATCTAAGCACCCACACCATCACACGCCATGCACAAAAAGACAGTTGCAAAGCTTGCTATAATTTCAGAAACCTACTATTTCCAAATACACAGAAAAACCATTTGATGCAATGCAGGTATTCAGACTGCTTAGGATCAAACATCTCTAAGTTCATACATCACTGCATCAGTCAAGTGGAAAATTGTAACAGGGAGTCAAAATTTGGGGCTTACTTTACTGGTTACATTAAAAAGGAAGCACATTTTGGTTAAAATCCAAGCTGTAAGAAACATGCATATTCATTTTCAGGATTTTACAGTGCAGTTAAGGAAGCAAAAGCACCTTTTCTGTGCAGTCTGTGAATGCCTCAGCATTTTGCTGTGAAACAGTTTTAAGCAGTTCCACTGGTGAGAAAACACACCACCTTCCAATACCAGTTTATGGAGAAAACGCACATAAATTTAGGAAATCAGCTGGATAACAAAGAGTCCTTTGAATTACTACCGGAACAAGCTTCTGGCTTGCACTAGGGTTTGGAAAAGATAGGGCAGTATTGCTGTACTGCTTAAAACCTCCCATTTTAAGGCCTTGTTTCAGTTTCCAAGCATTGACACTGATCCTGCTGTTCTGCTACTGCATAATGGACCGAAGACGGATGGGCTTCAGTAGAACAGATTGTGCAATTAAGTAGGGATCCTCCTAATATAAGACAAAATCCAGCAAGCCAGCCAACAAACAACGCTTCCCCAAAATCCCACCTGGGAACAATATCTGGTATATTCTCATCCCAAAATTCCTGGACTGTGGCATGGGCAACCCAGGAAACTGGGACAATAGCTGTAATCCCCGATATCCAGAAGAGCATTCCTCCAAACAGCA